AATTTTCTAACTTAATATTATAATAATATAGTAATATTTGATAAACAAACTAGAACAGCTATAAAAAACAGTAATTTATTTAAATAACTTAGCATTGTTATAAACGCCAAGACCTATCTTTTATACAAAAATAGATTCAAATGGGTTATTATTAGGTTATTAGGTTTAACCCATTAGGTTTTAGGTTAGGTTAGGTTATAGAGGGCGGAACCTAAAACCCAATGGGTTAGGTTTTAGGTCAGAGACTCCGACCCAAAATGGGTTCTGCCGAAGTCTAATATAATTAGTTAAAATATATGATCTAGAGCCTATACTATTAACCTAGTAGCTATTAACAGAGGTGATACCTTAGGGTAAGGTATAAAGAGCTATTTATTAGTAAAGTCTAAGAAATAAATTAGCTATAAAGATAACTATTAGATAATAGGAACAATACAGGTATATATTATCCAAACCTTTTATAAGTAGGTATTATACTTATTTAATTTCGTCTAAATTCCTCAAGCTCTTTTCAAAATTATAAGACTTATAACTAAGCTATATAACTATATACTAGACAGAAATCTGATTTTCAGACTTACTACCTATAAGATTACTATACTAAAGCTATAAGATACCTTACCAGGTCTATAGGCAGAAGTCTTTAAATTTAGTTAATAGATAAATAGGAAACACAGGCATCATAGTATAGTATAATCAGTAAGTAAATTAACAAAATAAATAAATAATAACTATAATAAAAATAGTAAGGTTATACTATAAATAAAAATAATATTTTTATTAATTAACAGCCGGTTTAGGCGCTACAGTGCCGAGATTCTTTATAAATCCACCCTTAAACAAGGATATAGCCTGGTTAAACGGATCACTATTTAACTTAGTAGCTAGCTTCAGCCCCGCTGCTATAAATACTTATTTAAAATCATACTTAATATCCTCGAAATCCTTAAGACCAGCACTAACATAGATTAAATCAGGGGTAACTCCTCCCTTAATCTTTTCCTCATCGGGTAGCTGCTAGTAGGTTATAACCTAAGGGTAGATAATAAGCGTTTTAGCATTACTAACATTAGCTAAGTAACTACAAAGCTTTAGATTATTAACAACTATACAGATTTCCTCAATTATTCCAGCCTATAAAACTAGTTAGTTATCCTTATAACTCGAGTACCTAAGGGCAGGATAAGCAAAAAGAGAATAATTAAACTTACTATACCGAAGGTAAGGATACCTCCACCACTATTAGGCATAACTTCCTTTACGTACTCATAGTCCAAATACGATTTTAGCCCGGGGTAAAGGACCTAGTTAACCGAAGGATAGGCTTTAAGCCACTCAGCCAAAGCCAGTATAGTTTCATAATAACGTTTTCCGCGCAGGGAGAGAGTCTCTAAACCCTACAGGAACAACCATACATTAAATAGGCTTATACATAGACCTAAATCGCGTATACTATCCATTCGTAACTTGGCAGACAGGGCTTTATATCCATATACTTCCCAAAATCGCATCCTATAGTACCCATCTACTAGCTCCGTAAAACCAGGGAATTTACCAGATACAGACCAATTAAAGTAGCCACTATCAATAACAATACCACCCATACTAGTTCTATACCCGCCAATCCATTTAGTATAACTATAGGTCACAATATCAGCGCCTAGTACAAGGGGCCGGGATAGGTAGCCGCCTATACCAAATATATTATCAACAATCAATAGGATACCATACTTATACGTAACAGCGCTAATAGCTACAATATCTAGTATACTATATTTTAGATTAGAGATAGTCTCAATATAGACTGCCCGAGTATTCTTATCAATTACCGCGTCGATATCAGTCGGGTTATTACCATACACCCATTTAACATCAATATTAAATTTCTTTATATAGACCCAAAACTAGTTATAGGTACCGCTATACAGCTAGCTAGTACTAATAAAGTTTTAGCCGGGCGAGTAGCAATTAGTAATAGCTATAAACTATACTAGGTTAGCTTAGGTCGCATTCTCTTTCCTCCCCCTTTCTTTCCCCTTTATTTAATATTATTTTTAAAATAATACAGTAATATATATTATTAGATAAAGGGGTATAAGGATCTAAAATTTACCTAGGTAGTATAACTAGAGGTAGTAGCAACAGCACCAACTCTACCTTCCAACATCAACATTCTCTACTTAAAAACGGAATTCGTAGGGTTACCTATATAGGTATATACATAGCCCTCTTTAGACTAGGCGAACTTACTAGCGCTATCAGTAGTATTAGAAAAGTTATATACTGTCGTCTGATATAATGGTACAGTACAGGACCCATTAACAGGGTCCAGCTCCTAGCCACCGTAGAGCGATAGGGTCGTCCAACCAGGGGGTCTAAATAAAATTTAATCAGTTCTTAAGCACTCTCCTATATAAAAATTTAAAAGCGAAAAAAAGCTTACTTTTTAACATTTTTAAGTGATCCGGAGATAGGCATTAAGGCAGAGAGAGGTCTTTCAAAAGGGGAGATTAGGAATAACAATAGAGCTAGTATCTTAATAGGAAAGCTAGTTATTAAGTTATATTAAATAGGTTTCTTTTTACCTACACTTATAATGATTTATATTACTAGATATAAAGTTATCTTTACGACAATACCCAGCTAACTCTATACAAAGCTCGATAACTCAGCATCGTTATCTCAGAATTAATAGGCGTCTACCAAAACACAAACGAATCTAGAGTCGCCGTTTATCAAATACCGGCTTTAGACATTAGATTTAACCCCCGCTCATAATACCTTAGTCTGTGGCCGTTTAGGAAAGAACCCCATTTATTCCTAATAACAGTTTTAGGTATTTCTCTTATTAAATATAGAATTAAATACTAGAAGAATATTTATTTCACATTCTTCGGCTATTTTCCCACTACATCTACCTAACAGTTTTAACAAGCAAACTCCGGGGTAATAAGGGACCTTATATATACCTACTTACTAATAATCTAAATATAGCTTTAGCGCTAAGATACAAATTAGGAAAGAGAGAAAAAAAAAATAGGATAAACACAGATATATAGAGTAAGAAAGACAACAGAATATAAATCCAGATTAAATTAATTTCCTAAGGCTATAATCATTATTAAAAGATAGTATATAAATCTTATAAACAAGAATATTACTCTACTTCCATAAACTCCGAGTATCTCCTACTCCATTTCGTACCTCATTTATATAAAACTCTATTCATACTACCCCCGACTTCACTAATTATTACCTTTTATCCCTCAATCATCGAATTAGAAGACTAGGTCATCATTTTTATTTAATCTAAAACCCCAACCAATAAGATTCCTATCCACAAGATTATAAGTTATTTTATATACCTCTCATACCCACAAGTACTTCGAAGGCGATAGAATAGTTCTCGAGAGCCCCAACAACAGATTATAGGCCCTGTTACAGCTAGATATATAGTTATTCGATCATCAGACTAGCTATCGAATACTTTAGGTATATAATTTCTGCTCTATAGCGGATCATCAGCATCGAATAACTACTCTATATTACACAACATACAAAAGAAGGCATGGTACGAGGCAGAGTCATTCTAATTATTAAATTTTTAAATACTAAAGGGCTAGACACATCAATATAGTCAAAGGGGGTTAGATACAGGAGCCGTTCAAAGCACCGGGCGATATTCAATACAGATTTAAGACAAATCTTAGCAGACTCCTGGTTACCAAGCTCGAGAAGTCCCCTAATAGCTTAGCTTTTATCTAATAATAGTGACAACAATATATTTAATATACGGCGCAGTAAGCGCATACCTTCCGGGGGTAAGCCGACGGACAAGGTAGAGGCGGTTAACAGAGAGCACAAGCATACCAGAGATTTCACTAGTTCTGAACCCTCTTTATTCTAGGGCGATAGCATTAGATCGCAGTACTTTTGCGAGAATAATAGGAGGTCGAAAAAGGCGCTGTATCGATGTAATTTGATCCTTACGCTAAAGCGTTATATCAGCAAAGATGCCTTCCAACCCCTCAAGAGGAAAGCTAGTGTCGACCAACCTATTCACCTTGATACGTCCGATCAATTTCAAGCAGTCTGCAACTACGGACTCTTCTAAATCGAGCAAGCTCGTACCCGGATGTTGCGGAAGATATTCGTCGGCCTTCGTAGCTAGCAACTTTATCTCATTGTCAAGCTCGCGGTTACGTTCCAATTTGGACTGTAGACCTATCCCAGTCTTTAGAGCCTTGTCTAATTCAATCACGGCCATGGTTGCGGACATGATAGCTCGTTGGGTATCGATAAAGAAGGGCCATGTCTGATATTCAGAGCGTCGGTAAGATTCGGCTAAAGAAGGAAAATCGGTCGGAGTGATGCCTACATTCAAATCTGCACGAATCGTGGGATATTGGGTAGTAAACCTCGCATCTTCCATAGATATCGTTGGTTCCTTGGTCATATTTAATTAGCTGCGACCAGAAATAGAAGAGAGAGGCATAGAGAGAGCTGGCGACCTACAGTGACGCTGACAATCGATCCCTGACATACACAGATGTACTGTTGTTCGGTGTTAGCCGCGAGATTTATCCCGAGTTTGGGAACTTACTGTCATCCACCAAGCTCGGCGTCGGGATTCTGTATATTCATCTGATTTCTCCGGTTCACTATGCAGGGACATATCCATGGCTGCCATGAGGGCCTGTCCGGCTCGCTGACGCATTCTTCTGATGTTCCCTCGTTGTGCGTATTCATAAACGCTCAATATAGAAAGGGCTATGACACTCTCCAAATCGACCGGAACATGTGGGTGAAAGGGGGTGCGCAAATATGCATCCGGAGCATCGGAAAGGCCCTGCGCAGGCGATGTCGAGGACGCCGGTAATTCAGTTTCGATGTTGACGCTTTCCAGCGCTGACTGAGCCAGACATTCCGCATGCTTCCGGCGAAATACAACAGCATCTGCGCTAAGGGGATCACCGTTGTTTGGATAGGGAATTAGCGATAGTATCGCTGAAATGCTGAGACTGAGAGACGAAGAAGGCTCGTAATCAGCATCGTTCAAATATTGTTCATCTTCAGAAATGACAATGGGACGATCCGTTGGTGTTAATTCTGGAGGAGGAAGTATTGGGAAGTATGGATGAATGTAGATATAGTATGCATCTAGTCTAATAGAAAATATTAAATCTTTGTCGGACATATGGCCAGCACACGATCGCGTAAACTTACATGTCACGGTCACTTTGGTACGCCCGCACTATTGGTGACATAGGCCGAGATGGTTGAAAGTCAGACATGATAGCATCTTCCCCAAGTTGAAAGATGCTATCAAAAATAAAATCGCTATCCTGGACATTATCCTCAAGTTTTCGAAGTCCGGCTCCTGGTTCAACGTATTGTTCGACTATGACTATGAAATCTATTAGCCGCACATATCTTCTTCCGTTCAGGATACTTACGTGGTCGAGTCTGTTTTCCCTCACAGTTCTTCTGTATACCCCTTTGCGTGTACTGGCTGCCCGTTCGAGCGCCTCCGCGTCTACTGGGGATATACGCACATTCTTGGCCCTTTCTTAGGCACTGGGAATTGATTAGTTATGAAAATTATGTGCTAATTTAGGGAGACGTACATTTGTGCATACTTCTTTGCCGTCGCATCGTGTCCGTGAGCGTCTACTTCACCGGGAAGTCAGCCTCCTAACAATACTCCATACCGGCTGACACCTAAGGGTACAAACATACCAAGCGAGGCAGGCCAATTTGACCGGTCGCGTAATTGGTCTTTTTCCAACATCCCTCCGTTCCAGGTTCTCGGAAGTTCGTTTGTCCATCGGGCTTCAAGGAGCGGGTCTGACACTTGTTGTTTCAATATAGAGAAGAGTACCCCGTAGCTATTGTGGGTTCAGTCGGGGGAGGGTGTTATCCTTCTTCTGAGGGATCCCGGGATTCGCGGGATTGCCAAATCCCGGCTCTCGCTTATCAGTGACATGGTGTTTGACGATCTCTAAGCCGCGGAGACAGTGAGTTGTGGAGATAAGTAGGTTGCGGAGATAGTGGGCTAGTGGGTAAAGCGATAACATAAGGTTTGTTCTAAGGTTCCACCATTCACCATTCCAAGTTTGAGATATAACTTGGGCCAATCGACTAAACCAAGCGCAAAAACGCTATATATCAGCACAGGAAAAAACTCTCAGCGTATGAGAACAGATTTGGCGTACGACTTTTCGATACGAACGCTGGTCCAGTTGCTCTAATTTAACAGTAATATTCGAATATCGTTCCTTGTCGCCTGATTCTGCGCTTACATTACCTAGCGCCTTCACTCGACATTTGAGTATCTTTACTATACAAGGAATCATAGGGATTCGCTATGTCACCTCCAATTGCAAAAAGGAAGTGTGGTAGGTTGAAACTTTTGAAGAATCACGTATTGACCCATCGCTAATTATACAAGGTGTTCTTGGTGCAACAGGTTCTGTGGGCCAACGATTCATTCTGCTCCTCGCGAATCACCCGTTCCTCGTGCTCCACAAAGTCGGAGCTTCATCTCGCTCCTCTGGCAAGAAGTACAAAGATGCAGTTAGATGGAAGCAAGCGACCCCCATGTCGAAGGGACTGGGCGAACTCATCGTCCAAGACTGCAGAGCTACAGATTTCAGCGATTGTGACCTGGTATTCTCCGGTTTAGACAGCGACATTGCCGGGGACATCGGTACGCGTTCCCTTTTTGTTTATTCTTGAACTTTGTTTTTTTTCTTAAAGGCCTACAATCCACCAGGTGTTCATTCGCTAATTACTACCCAGAGATGGAATTTGTGAAGGCTGAAATTCCGATTTTCTCGAACGCAAAAAACTACCGCAGGCATCCACTTGTTCCACTTGTGGTTCCAACCGTTAATCCGTCACACTTGGACATAATCCCGCACCAGCGCAAGGAGTTCGGTTTGAAAAAGGGCTTCTTAGTGTGCAACTCAAACTGTGCGGTGATTGGAATTGTCATCCCGTTCGCCGCTCTGCAATCTAAGTATGGCCTTGTTGACGAAATCGAAGTCTTCACCGAACAGGCTATCTCGGGGGCTGGTTACCCCGGTGTCCCTTCTATGGATATTGTGGATAATGTTGTCCCATTTATTAGCGGCGAGGAAGATAAGCTCGAGAACGAGGCGCAGAAGATCCTTGGTTCCATAAATGATGATGCCAGCGCCTTCCAAGAGCAAAGCGGTCTCCGGGTTGGTGCCACTTGCACCCGGGTTGGGGTTACGGACGGCCATCTGGCATTTGTATCGCTACGCTTCAAGAACCGACCACCACCAACTGCTATACAAGTGAAGAAGGCGTTACAAGAGTACCGATCTGAGGCCCAGAAATTAAATGCTCACTCGGCTCCAGAACAGACAATCATAGTCTTCGATGAGCCTGATAGACCACAGCCGAGACTGGACCGCAACTTATCTAACGGCTACGCAGTTAGCGTGGGCCGAGTCCGAAATGGTGCTCAGGGCGGCCACTTTGATATTCGTTTCGCATGCCTATCACACAATACAGTAATTGGTGCTGCCGGTTCATCTATCTTGAATGCTGAAATTGCTGCAATCAAGGGATACCTCTAAATAATCTAGAGAGGGCGAAAAGAAGTTTCATTGCCGTGAATATTCTTTCGTAAATTTATAAGGGGTTTGGAATTCTATAGGTCTCTTCCAGGCTTTCTCTGTTTCTCTGTTGTCTTGATCCCATCATTTACCATTGTGAATATCCCGAATCAAATGATCCTCTTTCACTTATCATGTTAGCCCCTGACGAGCCTTTATGACGGGCTTACGGGGTGGGTACCTTGGAAGCAACAGGCTATTTCATCTCATGTATCACCTAATAGTTACTTGGTCAATGTCTCATATTTGATACACGTACTTTACGTGCTGCACAAAAGCCTATCCAGATATTTGCCTAAGCAATCCCCCATCTTCTAGAAAGATCATCAACGTGAATTTTCTTTTCTTGCAAACCTAAAATCTAAGGTTACTGGTGAGCTAGATAATGATAAAGAAGATGAAATCTTATTGCTTAATAGTACCGACCTTTCATCAAAGCTGTAAGCGAATTACTCAAAATACAGAATAAAACTGAGAAAGAACCTCACAAAATATGTACCTCACAATATTTCCAATATTTACAATGTTTGCGGAACCCGAAAGAATCTGAGAGCCGAACCTGACAGGTTCTCAGAACCCTAGAGTCAAATCGCGGTTCCGAAGCCTGAGACTACTATCCCATGATATTCATACTATGGGTTTAAATTGTTATTCGCACACTAAACTAAAAAAGCCTCTTGAATTTCAAATCGAATTTCAAATCGTTCTTCCTATCGTAGTCAGTGTCATTGGCACCGGTACTTTTGGACCATCCTCTCCGGTATGATCTCACATCATCTGTTCCGAAAACAGATTCAATCAGGCCGAAGCGTCAGAGTCGAGTCTTTCTTTCTTTGTGAGGAAGCCGCCGAGGTCACCCAAGGGGAATGTAAATGGGAATCCCACTGAGCTTAGGGTGATCGCGAGGAGGATATACCATGCTGCAATGCCCGCGACAAACAGAAAAGCACCGCCAGCCTAATATTAATAATAAAGAAATTAGATCAAGCTTAAATTTGGTCGGTCAATGGACCATAAGTCTCTCTGCTTACCGTTTGAAGATTCGAGGCAACACTGGCGTTTCCCAGGGCAAGCTCCCAAAAGGCACCTGACAGGAGCGCAAAGGATATGGTGAGACTGAGCTCCACTATAGCAAGCGCAATATGTACTTTCAATGAGCCCAAGAAACAAATGAGAGAGAAAATGCCCATGAACAAGAGTAGAAATGCTAGAAATCCTCATCAGCAACAACACTCACTATTGGCCGCCCTTCCCACTTGATGAAAAAGGCGTGGAAAGAAAATCAGGGACGATGCTCACCAAAAGTAGCATTAAATCCAGCCACTTCAAGTCCCTTTGAGGGGTCCGAAGCATCGGGCGAGTAGGCCCCGTACGCTCCAAAGAAGGGCTGAAGCGTCGCACCGTAGGAATACCACCACCCACCTGCTCACGCCGAAACGATAAGTTTGCCATTTATTCATGAGCATAAATTCACACATTTTCACTTACCGTAGCCGCAGAACAAAATGAATGGGAATGTATTTCCCAAAATAAATTCAAGAAACCCACCCAGCATCATGAGCAGCCCACCCATGAAAAAATAAGCACCCCTGCACCCAAGAATTGGTCAGATCTTCAAACAACAATGGTAACAAGAGAGGACCAGTGTAATGAGATAAACTTACGTCGACGCAGCGCCATTACCACCAGCTCCTCTCCATCCCATGAGATCGCAACCCAAAGTCGATACACTTATCGCGAGGCCTAGCACCGAACTTTTATATAATTGTCAATGGTTCTTGGGAGGCTTTTATGGCAATTCTAGACAACTCACATTGGTGTTGGATTAGCAAAGGACTTGCTGAGGTTGTACGTGACCTCTAATGGCCGCGCTGAATTTCCAGAGAGAGTGGATTTGCACATGTTGATCGGATATTGTATTAAGTTGGCCGGTCCAAAATTGTGCAATTTTGTCGGTCAATTTAAATTCGTTACGTTCCTTATTTTGGGGACAAAGAGGCTTGATGTTGGAACAAGTCCTTTGCATATGTGTAGCATTGCTCGCTCGTATCAGCATATCAGACACATCGGACCTATCATCCCATGAGGACTACCAGCACTTGAGATTATCAAAACAATGTACGCTTATTGTTTTCCATCATTGATAACCTGGCCCAGAGGCCGATTGTCCGCTTTACCTAGTGACCCCCTAGTTCAAAGACCGATCGGGCTTCGGCCTCTGCAGTTCGGGGATGGCAAAAACGATGCAGATAAGAGTAGCAAACAACATAATCTAGAAGGAGTACGGGGTATGGGATTTGGAATTCATAAAAAAGAAATCACTTCATGTTTTCCATATCTTAGAACTTAGAAGGGTGAACATAAGGTTCAAATTCTTGATAAGAAGCCTTCCTCAGCTGGATCTTGTTCTTTTCTTGTTGTCCTTCAAGTGATATAGGTTATCTGATAATTTGAAGACCTCACCATCTCCCAATAACGACTAAACAGTGGCCTTCGCCGAACCAAAATGACCATTCATCCTGCCCCAAAGGAGTGGATTGTCCAGAAATACGGTGGCACCAGCCTTGGAAAACTTCTGGACAAGGTTTGTGGGGCGATTATTCCTGCCTATCTTGAAAACTACAATGTCGCCGTCATCTGCTCCGCATTATCCGGCACCACCAAGGCCAACGGCACGACAAGTTTGCTACTCGAGTGTCTTCGATATGCAGAGGTAGTCGGCGTGGAATCAATCAGCCATATAAATGCGATGATTGATAAAGTTCGCGATGCCCATCTGGATAAATTGCAGACACTCCGGGCCTATTCCAGTGACACAAATGACTTGCTGCTAAGTGAGAGCATAGTAAATATGGTCAGCGACTGCGAAGAAGTTCGTAAATTTCTTCTTGCGGCACAGGTATGTCTATTTTTGAAACAGGAATGGTCATCTCACTAGTCTTTGTACTTCGTGCTGATTGTTTCCTGTGCACTCCAGATCGTGGGAGATCTGTCGCCGCGCTCCAAAGATAAGGTGCTCGCGCTAGGAGAGAAATTAGCGTGTAGAACCGTGGCGGCTACACTAAGCATCAAAGTACATGCGTCATCTAAGATTGAAATTATATTTATTAATTTTTAGTAATAGGGAGGCATTCCTGCTCGAGTCATCAACCTCGACAACATTGTTGCAGAAGAGTTTGGTGGATCTCTGCCAAATCAAACAGCTGAATTTGAACGCCTCGGAGTACGATTCTATCATAGACTCGGGCAGAGGATTGCGTCAATGGTATCCAGATCTACAGATGCGGTGCCTATCATCACTGGTATGAGGACTCCCCCAACTAATGCATATAAGTAGTACATTTCCAACTGACTGTGTCACCCGGATCTAGGCTTTTTTGGTGTCATGCCTAATTCACTCCTCCAGTGTGTTGGTCGGGGGTATTCTGACCTCTGTGGTGCAATGTGTGCGGCAGGTCTGGCTGCCGCAGAATACCAGATTTGGAAGGAAGTCGACGGAATATTTACTGCGGATCCCTCAAAAGTGCCATCAGCACGAGTGCTGACGACTGTTACTGCGGAAGAGGTTTCAGAACTGACCTTTTTTGGTAGTGAGGTAAGATGTCCAACACTTAAACTAGCTCATAACATGAGTTCTAACCCCAGACCATCTATTCTCACAGGTGATCCATCCTCTAACCATGCAACAGCTATACGAGTCGGAGATTGTCTTACAATTAAAAAACGTACTGAATCCCTGCGGGTCGGGGACCGTTATCTATCCATCCGGTCCAGAGGCAGACCACCAGCCAACGAAGACAGTGCAGGGGAAGTCGACAGATGTGGGTTTTATGCTTTCCAACGGATACCATGGGCAGTCTCGGAGCAGACGATGCCCAACCGCTATCACCAGCAAAGAAGGCCTCATTCTCGTCAACGTTACAGGTAGCCGGGCCATAAAGACGCAGGGGTTCTTGGCTTCTGTCTTTTTAGAGCTTGAACGGACTGGCCTTCTTCCGGATTTGGTCACCACAAGTGAGCGAAACGTCAGCCTTGCGATACAGGCATCGAATGGCATTTTCAACCGCAATAGACTAGTACTGAATTTGCAGAAATTTGGATGTGTAAGTAGCGTTCCTTCCTGCTCCCTACAGGAAATCGATCTTGGCTCATTGTTGAAAACAGGTTTCGATATTGGAAAACATGAACATCGTTTCTGTTATTGGCCAGCAAATGCGCAATATGGTCGGAACTGCAAGTAAGTCTTGTCTACCATAGCTTAAATAATCTCAAGAAAGCAGTCAACTCACAAGAATCAAAATCAAGACGAGATCTTCGAGGCTCTCGCATCAGCAAAAATCAATATTTACCTAATAAGTCAGGGAGCAAGTGAGATAAATATTTCGTGCGTGCTTTTTAATCCACCTTATAGTTATCTATTCTCCAGCCACAGCTAACATTGCTCTACGTGCTATTAATAGGTTAGTTGTCAAGGCTGACGACGCCATACAGGCAATGAATGTCATTCATGCGCGGGCACTACAGGTTCCAACTCATCTCGAACAGGAGAATACCTTCATTAAAGGTGAGACTTTATTTTCCACGTCGTATTGACTCACTCTCTGAATTAACCTCGTGTTGACTACCATTAGGGCCCTGGTTATATTAAACATTTGGATTTTTACTTGGGTGTAATGTTTGTCTTTTAATCTTCCCAATCAAGAACACCATCATTCTGTTCTTTCATTATGAAAATTTTGTAATCGAGCAGCGCGTTTTTCTATTCTATTCAGCATAAGCGTGGGGTTTTTAGCTCATCTCGATGCAATACCCCTTGCTACAATCTATCACAGCGTGGAGAAAACAGGGCTTCCCGTCCGCTTAACCGTACTAAGCCCAGTATTCTACATCTCATGGTTGGAATGTTATTGAAAAGTAGATTCATTTAATTATCACCTGGCTTCTCTGCCATGATTTGTGCTCTATAATCTTCTTTCACACATTACCAACTACATACGACCATAGGGTGTGGAAAACAGGGCTTCCCGTCCGCTCAGCCGTACTTAAGCCAGCGAATCCTCACTGTTGTATGTTTTTTTTTGTTTTTGTTTTTCTTCGCTTGTGTCGCTTTACTCCGTACAAGTGGCTATAATAGGATAGGCCTCCAGATTGAACACTTCTGGGGATAAAGCCTTGAAATAACCAGCGATGAAGAATTGTCGTTGCTTAAATACATGGAATACGTAGGTGGGCTTAGCTTATCTAGAGAGAGATAGCTAACAATCATCAGAAATCACCATGTTAAATGTCAATATCAGTACATAGTTTACATCCTAGCTTCTGCGACAATATCATCTTTTAAATAACCATGAAGTTAAACATCCCCTCTCAACAGACCTCTCCTATCACAGTCATTTCTATTTTTCCCAATACGTCAAGTTTTTAAGCAAGCTAAAAGACAGTATATTTAGGAAATGAATATGTCCGTGTACCTTTTATCGGATTAAATGACCTTATAGAGAGAGTAGCTGCACTCTTTAGGAATCCATACGCCATTAGTTATATTGAAGAGGAATTAAGAATAATATCCGTGCAATTTTCAATTTCATCATTTCATAGTATAGTTATACTAGTTAAAGTAAATATTTACCCCTTACATCGCCCCACCAAATATGGGCTTATTCAGGTTGTCTTATTTTCAAGTTTCTGAGAGACCACTCATCGGCAGGCGCGGGTTTTAATTAACGAAGCAAAACCTAAAGAATAATCGACAATTCCAGCTTCGCGCATATTTAACATTGAATACTGATGTTATATGTTGTATTATCCTCACAGCCTTGTCGTCTTCATTGGACTCTTTTAATTTTTGATAGATCTTGATTAGCGATCTTGATCAAAAAGGTATGCGCCTATTTCAGCTAAATTCGGCAATACAATTAATCTGGATGGATGTGTTTTACATACTCCGTAGATTAGTGCCTATACTGGTTTAAGGTTTTCAATGTACGTGTTCCAGCTAAGCAGGGATTCGGCCAGTTTGGGGTACTGATACAGGCGGCGAAGTCGCCACGCGGAAATTTGGGTAGTCTTGGTCAAGATTGACATACTGCTTTTCCTAGGGTCAATTCTCAAGCCATCCAAGACCTAAAGTAGTAGGGCTCGTGGTAGTACGATTACACACCGGTGGACCCGCGGACCTAGATATCATAGATAATTGCCTAAATAGGTAGGGTTCATTCCCGGGGTCCAGGCACCCCGGCACTCAACTATGACATCAGGTAGATCGTACGTAGGTACATAATCGTTTTCAGGAGTAATAACCAATAGGGCCAGAATCCCAGGTGGCACACTTCGTCCCACGCCTGTAGTGCCGATCAGTTGAGTACCCAGTTAAAGTTCAAATACAGCACTCATAGTACAAGAATTTGACTAACTGCACACCTCTAACCCATTTAGGCCTAATGCATCTTTATGAAGTTAGTTACGGTATAGTATGGTAAATTCAAACACGTGATATAATATACCCCCTAAATTTTAGAGATAAACCCCTAAGTTAACGTTATCACGTGTCTTATGTGTAATATCATACCGTGTTTAATTACATGCCCAAAATGTTAAGGTGCGCTATACCTAAAAAGGACTAAAGGTGTGCAGTAGTTGGCATTTCTCGTAGTACAATTCATGCAAGTATAATAGATTCACAACAGATATATTTTCACTCGGGGGGAAGCTGACAAGGTCAGGCTCTTTGCATATTCAGTTGCCACTATCAATAATTTTGTTTTTGATCCGTACAATAGGTAGCGAATACACTACCTATATATATCTTTCTCTTTTCCTTCTTCTTTTGCATTGCGCTATCGAAATTTCCTATTCTCGTTTGAATCATTAGTATCGAGCAGACAATAGCACAACACCCAGACCTAAGGCATTATCTGCTTTGCTATCTTTAAATTATCATGACCGTGACAAGACACGGGCAATCGGCCCATATGAGCGCAACACTTCAACTCTTAGGACTCGTGCGTGATTTGAGGAACAAGAAGCAAAACATTGTTCTCAACGGCAAGAACCTCGACATTGCTTCCATCGTGGCCGTCGCTCGTCATGGAGTTAAGCCCACTATTAGCACGGACGAGCTGCTCGCCAAGCGGCTTGAGACCTCCGTCGACACTCTAGCCGATGTCATTTCTCGTAAATGTGTGATCTACGGCGTCAACACTGGTTTTGGTGGCAGTGCTGACACAAGAACCAACGAACTCATCGACCTACAGACTCATCTGCTCCAATTTATCCAAAGCGGAATCATCACTGCCGCTGACAAGGATCCAGGTAGTAACTCAGAGAGGGAATCATCCCACGTCATGCCTCTTCCCTGGGTTCGAGCCACCATCGTTGCTCGAGCGAATCAGAATCTCAGGGGTCACAGTGCCATCCGAAAGTGCGTGCTCAAGAGCCTGATTGACCTACTGCACAACGGCATTACTCCCCTAATTCCAATTAGGGGTACCATTTCTGCATCTGGAGATCTTATGCCTATGGCTTATATTGCTGGAGCAATCATGGGCAACCCAGATGTCTTTGTCCAGATGGGCAAGGGCGCACAAGCCATAGTGATGCCTTCGTCTGAGGCCTTGGAGCTGAGCGGGCTTTTCCCGTCAGGACTCGGCCCGAAGGAGGGACTTGGGCTAATCAATGGAACTGCTCCTTCCGTGGCGTTGGCAAGCTTGGCATTGTATGACACGCAGCAGCTTGCGCTGTTGTCTCAAATGTTGACGGCTTTCGCTTCCGAGTGTTTAGCCGGAAATGTAGAGTGGGCTCATCCCTTTATTCATGCCACTCGACCCCACGCTGGCCAGATTGAGGTGACAAGCAATATCCGGCGCTTCCTGAAGGGCTCCAAGTTTGTTGTTGGCTTGGAGTCACAAAAGGCATCGGGCGACGGACTCTGCCAAGATCGATATTCGACACGAACAGCGCCTCAATGGATTGGACCTTATGTTGAAGACCTTCTGTTAGCGCAACATCAGCTGGAAGTGGAGCTCAACTCCACATCAGATAACCCCCTGGTGGACACAAGCAAGCAAGACGATGGTTCTAGCGGAAAAGTGTACTCCGGTGGAAATTTTCAAGCAGCTGCCGTCACGTCGGCTATGGATAAGGCTCGTTTGGCGATTCAGATGATAGGACGAATGCTTTGGTCCCAGGTCACTGAGATGATCAACCCTGCTACAAATAATGGACTCGAGGCTAACCTTAATGCCACCGCACAAGAGAACTTCACTATGAAGGGAATTGACATCAACATGTCAGCATACATGTCTGAGTTGGCAGCCCTGGCACATCCAGTCTCTGCTCATGTCATGTCAGCCGAGATGCATAATCAGGGTATCAACTCTCTGGCGCTGATTTCAGCTCGACGCACTCTGGAGGCTGCAGATCTATTGGCACATATGAGTGCCTGTCATATCTATGTCTCATGCCAGGGTGTCGAGATCCGGGCAAACCATGAACGATTCCTTTTGAAACTCCGCACCAAGATGGAGGACTCCACCGCAAGCGGAGCTTTGTATGGACTCGGATTGAAGGGTTCGCAGATTGAGACACTATCCGCGTCACTCCTCCCCATTGTCCAGTCGAGCTGGTACCGCGCAAACTCCAATACTTGGAAAGACCGTGTCTTGTCTGTAGTTGATGCCGTTATGTTGTCGGTCAACGTATTTGTGGCCACTAACAACCCGGATTGCTCAGTTTCAACAATCATTGCCTTCAAGAAGCATTTTCGGGGTGTTGTGTCCAGCACAGCAGAGGAAATGTTTTATCCCGGTCCGACTATTTCCCCTGAGGAGGTTACCACACAGCTTGGCAGGGGGACTGCACAAATCTATACATGGGTGCGCTCGAAGTTGAACATCCCGATGAACTGTGGCCTCCAAGACGATCCGCTGTATAACGCCCAGCAGGGCCTTCCCACAAAGGGCAAAAGGAGTATTGGAAGCTTGGTAAGCATGGTATATGAGAGATTGCTTAAGGGTGAAATGATGGGTACAATTCTAGAGGGCTGGATGCAGGACTAGACACATTATACATCAAGAGATTTGGGAGTATTTAAAGGAATGTAAAGAGTTATAAAAGCACTGAGTACCCCCGATGCATGCCCAATGGTGCATTGTAATAAGACACTTCCACGAATGGTATTTCAATAGTCAAATATTTCCCTCGAGATTATGGCGTCGAATGATGGGATCAAATCAATTATAAAAACATGTATTTAGATTATTCTACTACAAAGTATGGAACAGAGGGTTGCGATCTTTGGACATGGGAGGACAGAATGTCACATTGCTAAATTCTACGAACCTTGTGTTCCAAAAAATGGATGTAAAATAACCTAAGCAGGAGACTGGAAGGCAGTTGCTAGTATGGCATTCTCGAAACTTGCTAGGTCAGGGAGGTCAGATGGGTAAACAATCCTTACTTAACTATATTGCTCTGCCCTTTATCTCACTATCAAATATTTCACACTTGATAGTTTTGTCCTACGCATGACCTGACACATACGACCATAGGGTGTGGAAAACAGGGCTTCCCGTCCGCTCAGCCGTACTTAAGCCACACGCCGGTGAGTTAGTAGTTGGGTGGGTGACCACCAGCGAATCCTCACTGTTGTATGTTGTATATTTTTGCTATTTTGCTGTTCTAGATCAGCCGCGTTTGCGGTGTGATGTTTTTTATGTGGTCTTTTTAGACGTATGTGAAGGAGGTAAAAAAAAGCATACTTTGTGCAAGCGACTTTTCTATGTATAACCCGTGATACAAAAAAGTGTAATAGATACTGATCGAGTCGATGGATGCTTATTTTTGCTTTAGTGCAGAATGTCTGGTGCTCATGGCATTTTTCTATCACGATGTCACTTTTTAATTTTAGCCTTTTAGACATCAAGGTATTTTTTTACGAGCTACGCATTACCCATTTCTATATGAGATATCCTTACACACTGAATAAGCGAACGAGGTCAACCTGTCCTCAATTTGTATGTCTAGATTTGTACTTTGGACGTACAACATGTATACAAAGCCAATGATAAGATGATGTTCGAGCCTATCAAAATCCCACGCAAATACACATGTAGATAACGGTGCGATAGAGGCCTTAGGCAGCAACTGGGGTCTGGACTGCCAAGCACGGATGAACTGCCACCGCCTTCCGAATTTTTTTTGAGTCCCGATATGATTGCAAAAAAATTGGAGATGTTCATCGAGTGTACAACTTGCTAAAATGGGCTCCCCTACTACTCAACTCACCTCGAAGGTGACATCGGGCTCCCCTTACCAGCTTGATAAGCCCCAGGTTAGTACCAATGACTGCCCGGATCAAATTTCGCAAAGTACTTATCTTAATTCAACCAGGCCCTCAAAGCTTCCACCGCGCTGCTGAAGCACATCAAGTCTACTCAGCAGGAACAGGAGAAGACCAACACTAAGAAGACTCTTATTGGCGACGATGACTCCGATGATGAGGATAGCGCGACCAAGAACGAAGCCATCTGGCTCGTTCTCACCACCAAGCAGCACGTCGTGGACAAGAACCGCCTGAAGCCCGGCAAGATCAGCATCCCTCACTCTCTCAACACATCTCCTTCCCTCAGTATTTGTTTGATTACTGCCGACCCTCAGCGTGGCGTTAAAGATATCATTGCCGACCCATCCTTCCCCCAGGGCCTTTCCTCCCGCATCGAGAAGGTCATTGGTTTCTCTAAACTTAAGGCCCGCTACCAGAGCTTCGAGAGCCGTCGCCAATTGTTTGCCGAGCACGATGTCTTCCTGGCTGATGACCGTGTCGCTATGCGCCTGGTGCAGACCCTCGGAAAGATCTTCTACAAGTCTAGCAAGCGCCCAATTCCCATCCGTATCGCCGAGATCGAGAAGGTGGATGGCAAGCGGGTCAAGAAGGACACCAAGAAGAACAACTCTTCCGCCAAGGAAGAGAAGAACGCCTCTTTCGCCTCTCCTCTTATTGTCGCCAAGGAGATCGAGCGTACCTTGAACTGCGCCGCTGTGCAGCTCGCACCATCCACCACCGCTGCCGTCCGGGTCGGCTCGTCCAAGTTCACAGCCGAGCAGCTGTCTGAGAATATTGCCGCTGTTGTCAACGGTCTGACCGATAAGTTTGTCGCAAAGGGCTGGAGAAACATCAAGGCTCTTCACATCAAGGGTGCCAACACCATGGCCCTGCCTATTTGGCTCGCTGATGAGTTGTGGGTGGAGGATGCTAATGTGCTGGAAGCCGCCCCTGAGACCGAAGCTATCAAGGACTCCAAGAAGCGCAAGTCCGCTGGAGACAGCAAGCTGCTCGAGGAGAAGAAGACCAAGAAGACCAAGTCCGCAGAGGATGAGGAGGAGGCTGCATCCGTGGCCGCACGGAAAGAGAAGCTCCAGCAGCTCAAGGCTCAGGCTCTCGAGGATGGTGACACAAGCAAGCCCGTCGCAACGAAGACTGGTGGTAAGAAGAAGAGAAAGTCGACTTCATGATGGTTATAGCTCTTAATGTTTTCTGCATGTAAAGGTATTTCTGGCGTACAAAATATCACGTGTCTATTGTTCCGACCTTTTATATTGTGCCAGTATTCAAAATCAATCTAACTGTAGACAAACTAAACCAGCGCGATACAACATACCAGAGTAATAGATAAGATTAAATCCTTTCCAATGCCGTCGCATGCATCATTTTGAAGAATAATCAGGCTATATGATCACCGCATTAACCGAGTCCGACCTCGGGAGCTAGTCTTGGCATCCCGACGATAACCACCGAAAGTCAGATCACCGTGAATCGCCGAGCTTCAATCTTGCTCTTCTCCCCACGCCTGGAAGAACAACGCCAAATCATTCCACCAAGTTGTCATTATGATTCCGATCGCTAGGCACTCTGTCCTGCGGGCTGCCCGCTCTCAGCTCCAACCCACCCGGAAGCTGAGCCAGCCCGCTTCTTCGGCGCTCGCCCGCCTCCTCTCGACCCTCGCCGTTCTCGAGCAGCGCAATGGCAAGCTGGAATCTTCGTCTTTGTCCGCAATTGCGGCTGCACAGAAGCTTGGTGGCTCAGTAACGGGCTTCATTGCTGGCTCCGGTGTCAAGGGCACCTCCGCTGCCGAGGCTGCTAAGATTAAGGGCGTTGAGAAGGTGCTAGCCGTGGACAATGACGCATACGAGAAGGTATACACTCCAAAATCCTCCGAGATAAATTTCTATAGAAGGAGCTTTAACTAACAATTGGATTTGTTCCACGATAGGGTCTCCCCGAAAACTATGCCCCTCTTCTCGTCGAGAACATTAAGAAGGGCGAATTCACCCACGTTGTTGCAGGCCACTCTGCTTTCGGAAAGAGCCTGCTGCCCCGCGTGGCTGCTCTCTTGGATGTGCAGCAAATCTCGGACATCACCGGCATCGAGAGCGAGGACAGTATGTGAAACCTCGGAATAAATTTGACATGTGATCCGGCTACTGACCATAACCCAGCTTTCGTCCGCCCCATCTACGCCGGCAACGCGATTCTGACCGTCCAGTCCACCGACAACGTCAAGGTGATCACAGTGCGAGGTACCGCCTTCCAGGACGTTGAGACCGAGGGCGGCTCTGCCGAGGTCGTTGACGGAGCGGACCCCAACGTTCCTGCGACGACCGAGTGGGTGTCCGAGGAATTGGCCAAGTCAGAGCGTCCGGAACTTGCCACAGCCACCCGTGTCGTGTCTGGAGGCCGTGGCTTGAAGTCGAAGGAGGACTTTGACCGCATCATGCTTCCTCTGGCGGATTCCCTTGGCGCTGCTATCGGTGCTTCGCGTGCTGCCGTTGACAGTGGCTTCGCCGATAACAGTCTTCAGGTTGGTCAGACTGGTAAGAACGTTGCTCCTCAGCTTTACCTCTGCGCCGGTATCTCTGGTGCTATCCAGCACTTGGCTGGTATGAAAGACAGCAAGGTCATTGCTGCTATCAACAAAGATCCCGAGGCCCCCATCTTCCAGATTGCTGATGTTGGCCTCGTCGGTGACCTGTTTGATAAGGTGCCCGAGCTGACCGAGAAGCTCAAGAGCGCCTAATTTGGGTGTGCAGGAATAGTTTCTCTTTTGTATCATGACCTATCGAGCAGGTTGATACCTTTTTTGTCTGTTAAATGACCCGTACAGTATACCATTGACTAGAGGACTGGAACCAATATGGTTTGGTCTAAAATACCAAATTTTTATCATTTTTGATCTGATTTTAATATGCTTGAAAATAATCCAATGTTTGAAACTTCATGCTGTATTTTCAAAAGAATTTGGTCTACAAATAAAACACTGCCTGAGGACAATTATAGACAGACTTGAAGAAGAGCCTGTAAAAAGGACTATGCGGCCCAAACGGGACTAGCGCGTTTTGCACGCGTCGCGCGTCTATCAGAGGGGAATCACATCGGAGACCATTCAGTGACATGAGGTGTCTGAACGCTTGAATGCTTCCCTCCTCACCATCATTCCTATCCTCGTTTGACCCCGCCCTTCACCTCCACTCCGAAGGTCCTGACAACATAAACCCACCGTCTGAATCATTCTCCGACGATCTCGAGGCAATCCACCTGCACCGCCGCGAACAAACCCGCAACCGAGTTGTGATTCAACATCGAGCGTGGGATCTGTCTGATGTGTTTCGTAGCGAAGACGACATACGACCTGGTTAGCGATTCTAAGCCCGCATTGCCTGGAATAGTGGCACTGACAACCACATAGTAGATACGCCGACGAAGAACGTTACGACCCCGAGACCATTTTCTCGCACTCCTACTCAAAATCTCTCTTTTATCCCATCATCGCCGCCTGTTTCGAGAATGCCGTTCATAGCCTCTCCGGGCGCGCTTGCACCCACATCTGGCAATGCGACCAACGATTCACAGAAGAGGAAAGTCACAAATGCAGAGGGAGGTGTGCAGCCGACAGAGCCGAAGCGCCAGCGCATGGTTGGAGGCTTCGTTGATGACGATGACGATGACGAAGAAGACGACCTCGCTGCTTTCCGGGACGAGCAGCTGAAGGATCAATATGACCTGCCGGAGCACTTCTTCCAGGAGCCTCCGGCGCAACTCCCTAGTATACTGGCACCCCCACCGGTATCTACGAAATTGAACGAGACGACCAATCATACACCTAGCTCTTCCCGAACACTATTACAATTGACACCTCGACCTGCGCCAACGGCCCCCAAGAGGTTCCAGATCAAAACCTGTGCTGGCAAGACCCATAATGTCCCACAAAAGAAGGTCCAGGCGCCCGTTTCCTACAAACAAATGATCGCCAGTCGGTCCGAGACAGAACCTGGAAAGGCGACGAAGAGCTATTACGGTATCGACATTCACAAATTGCTGGACGATGCCGCCAAGGACAAAAAGCCCACGAGCACAGTCCCTCAACCCCGAGTCCAACAAACCATTGAACCGAACAACGTGAGCGCAAAACAGAAGAAGATGGACTCTGCAATGTGGACAGAGAAATACCGTGCTCGCAAATTCACTGATCTCATTGGCGATGAACGCACCCATCGATCAGTCTTGCGCTGGTTGAAGGGGTGGGAGTCAATTGTGTTCCCTGGTCTAGCCAAGTCTCGGCCGAAGAAGCCTGCCCAGGAGGATGAAGAAGAAGAGTACATTCATCGAAAGGTTCTCTTATTGAGTGGCCCTCCCGGACTTGGAAAGACGACATTAGCGCATGTATGTGCCAGACAGGCTGGCTTTGAAGTACTTGAAATCAATGCAAGTGATGACCGCAGCAGGGATGTGGTCAAAGGCCGCATTCGTGATGCATTAGGAACCGAGAACGTTAAAGGTATGAACGTCGAGGTCGGTGATAAAAAAGTCCGCCGTGCCGGTAAACCCGTATGTGTCGTGGTGGACGAAGTTGACGGTGTCACTGGTGGTTCTGGAAGTGGTGGTGAGGGTGGTTTCATGAAGGCGCTCATTGACCTTGTTTTGCTTGACCAACGGAACGCGAAATTGTCCTCCGAGGGCAATAATGGCAAGAAGCGCAAGGGTGACAACTTCCGATTCATGCGGCCGTTGATTTTGGTTTGCAATGACCTCTATCACAGCAGTCTCCGGCCCCTCAGGGCATCGTCCATTGCAGAGATGATCAATGTCCGCCAAGCACCATTGGAGAATGTTGTTCAACGAGTCAAGGTTATATTCGGCCGCGAAGGCATCCCCTGCGACAGTGATGGGGCTCGAAGGCTCTGTGAAGCAGCCTGGGGTATGGCGAGCAGAAAAAAGCGCAGTGGTAAAACCCAAGGGTCTGCCGAGGGCGATATTCGTAGCGTGCTTGTTGCCGCGGAATTTGTGGCGCACAAGCTTCGAAACGAGTCGTTGCCATCCTCGCTCAGACTGACGAGGAACTGGCTGGAGAACCGAGTCCTCAATGCATCGGCTGAGGGTAGCGCGTTCTTCAAAGAGCTAAGCCGTGGGGGTGTTCGTGAGATTGTGAACCGTGTATTCACAGAGGGAGCTGGCTTTTCAGATGCTCCCGTTGGCATGAGTTTCCAAGATCGCTTTGATACCACCAATAGCCGTGTTCCTGTCGGCGTGGCGGATCTGCGCAAGCGACATGCAATCAATCGATTGCGGGAAATGATCGATTCTAGCGGTGATCATGACCGCTGTGTATCGGAGTGCTTCGCTTCATATCCCATCCAGCAATATCAGGATGATAATTATTTCTCCAAACCTAACGCCGCCCACGACTGGCTTCATTTCCATGACTCAATTAGTTCGAAAGTCCATTCATCTCAAGAGTGGGAACTGATTCCATACCTCAGCCAGTCAGTTGTCGCATTCCATCATCTATTTGCTACGGCTACTGGCAGAACCACCGATGATGACAAGAACGATGATGACGAGGATGCCGAAGAGCCCCACCCTTTCTCAGGACCTAAAGCCGACTTTGCTGCCTTTGAAGCACAGAAGCAGAACCGTGCGGCCATGACTGCATTCCACGCCTCCTTCTCGGCACCTATGGCTCGCATATTCCGGTCGAACGAAAGTATTATTACAGATCTAGTCCCTTACTTGATCCGCATGCTATCACCAGACGTCAAGCCGGTCATCATTCGTGGAAACGGAGAGCAGCGAAGCACTGCTACCGTCCGCAAAGAGTCCGAACGTGCGCTTGTCCAGTCTACCGTGCGTGTTATGACCGGAATGGGCGTCACCTTTGAAAGAGTCCGAGTGGAACATGAGGGAAACCACGGTGGATGGGCATATAGAATGGAACCGTGAGTGGGATTTGAAGTCTTCCCTGAGACATACAAAGCTAATATATTTTCAAACAGACCAATCGACTCACTTGTGGTCTTCTCGAAGATCAAAGGTAGTACCATCGAGGCTTCGGGTGGTACAGCGCCGGTACGGTATGCCGTCCGCCAGGTTTTAGACCAAGAGTATCGCAAGGCGACAACGCGCAAGCAGTCTGATGCTGTGAGCGCAGCTAGACTGGGCACCAAGGGTCCTAGGACTTCCGATGAGACGGCCGCTGCCAAAGCAATCAGAGACGCGGCTGTCAAACGTGACTTCTTTGGTCGGCTGGTTGAGCAGCCTGTGCCACTGCCTAATGATCCAAACACCGCAGATAGCTGGGTTGATGAATCGTCCAAGGCTGGACGGAAAGTCTGGGTTACTTTCCACGAAGGCTTCTCGAATGCGGTCCGGAAACCCATATCTTTGGGAGAGTTGATGGCTGGGTTGTAATATATATGTATTGGGTTCCAAGTTGCCTCCTTTGAGCGTTTGTCATGGTCTGCTGGTGTTTTATTCTTCGTGCATTTGTTGCATACCTTCCATAATGATCACTGTTTTTTGACGAGCTATTGAATACCATACACTACTACATTACTTGATCAGCATTTGAAATGGGGATGAGAACTTTGCTTGAGTGAGAATAAATTTTGCATGAGAAAGAACTTATAGACATAAAACACGATCCTCTATTTCAACAACATATTTGAACGCCAACAAGTAAACCAGCCAAACAGCCAAATAGCCTAGATTATGACTGTTGAAAAACGCATTGAGACATATATGCAAAATCACAAATTATTAAACACATATGTGGTATCCAAATCATTCCATCGTTGAGGCGAAAGGGCGAACACGAGCACCCAGAAACCGACGCAGCAGCGCATAGCATCAAAACAGGTCCAATAAACCAAGCACAAAAATAGACAAGAGAAAAGAAGTAGGTATCGCGAGTGGATCGAGCGGGTGTAATGGTAATCAGCATAGCAGATGCCTCCATCCACGGCTTCGAGACCACTTAGCGCAGGCTGAAATAGGTGGCAAGAGCCTCGTTGTGCAGCTTCTTCTTCTCAAGGTCTGTGGCAGTATTTTGGAAGCCGGAGTTCGAGGACTTTGAGCCGAGTGAGTACCACTTGTGGTTCTTGATTGACGCATCGGCTGATTTGAGAGTTGTCGCTGTGGAGACGGTGGAGTGTGTTGAGGCTGCGCTCGATGAGGTCTTGGAAGACGCGTTGGAGGAGTTGCCGAACATTTTGAGTTGTATTTGATGCTTTATGCGTGTGTTTTGGGTGATTTTGGAGGTTGGTTGAGGATTTGGAGGGCTCGTTGACAATGGAGGTATAGACGTAAACGAAAAGTAAATGAAGTATGAGTTGGGTTGGCTTTTATAGTTCGAGAGGAAGGTGCGAGAGAAGGATGTCAATGTTTAGATCTTTAAGATCTGATGCTTTGCAATGGATTGGATTGGAATGTTTCTTTCTACGGGGATATCATCGGGTCTTTATATAGAGATGTTGATCACCACATAATTTACTCCGTGCTAGGCTGTCACTCCGAGAATGAAAATCTCAAAACGCCAAAGCCCCACCACGTCAGTCATAGTATACATCAAATCCAGAAGCTTTGCACTGTAACTCACAAGAGACAGCCTAAAAAAGACGTCAGTAGTCACACCCGCCTTACATGTGGAGCCGCTAAAGATCGGAGTAAGGATCGGAGTTCAAATTTTACTGAACTACACGAGACTAGAGGCTGGAGTGAAAAACCAAAAATATTCGGTAAATAAGTTGCTCTAGAATTATCCAATAGAATCTACGAGCGTGGAAAGTCAATAATATACGATCAAACAAGCTACTTGCTCTCTGAGGCATGTGTATCCATCCTCTAGACCCAAATGATGACCCCGACCAGTGCGGGTTCCTAACTCGGCAATCTATTCGTACGCCCTTTGATATGTGACTCGTGAAGACTTCCCCGTTCAGAAGGATCTTGCGAAAGGGCGAAGTTAATTTTTAACTCTTGTGTGGCTTTGCATTTATTCACATGTTAGTTAGGCCGAGCATTGGCAGGCTGAGACCAATGCCATGTCGGAGTTGAGGTCTGGATCTAGTCCGAAGGATTTTTAGATGAATTCTAGATGGCGATCTGGGTCCACAGGGAAGACTACATTTTATTTTAGGTATACTACTCCGTACATAGAGTGCACTTTGCCTCTCGTGTCGGTTAACCACGGCCTGTCTTAGAGCTACTAGTAAGGATATGTGTAAAGCAGCTCTTTCTACTCCTCACAAATTGCATGGATACTTTCTAGATTTCGAGGATAAATGGGTAGATGCTAACGCGTTGAGATTTACGAAGTGGCTTAGGATGACTCAAAGAGCGGGGTTATTTGCGTCTTCGAAACAAAGCTTAAAAGATGAGGCTGTTGAGAATTTGAAATCAAAGTACGGAGTACAAGGATGAGTATGAGATGACCCGGGAAGGCTTCAACCGACCGTACTTTTAGTTTGACAAGTTAATACTAGTCGAACAAGGATGTTCTGGTTTTTCGGTAGTCCGATGTTAGTCCGACCATGTGGATTTTTATTCCGATACTTAGTTCTCAAATTCCGATACTAAGATTTCGAATTCCGAGGACGGTACGGAGTAATTGATTTCCAATCTATAAATTAAAGTGAGCCGTTATTTTAGACTCGAAATACGGTATAATCTCCAAGGCTTTTAATAGGGATATGTAAGCATCGGAGTACATTTGGTGAGCAGGGATGTTAGTCCGATAGAGTCCGATCCGATCGATGAGGCTTGTCAACCTTGTTTTTACTCCGACTTTTTCAGATGACTCCATCAGGGTTAGAAATTCATTTATTCTCTCCACAATCCGCGTTGTCTTTTTTGAACTTCTTATTTAACACGCCCTACGGCCTTGGCAGCAGTACATAGCCACAGGTTTCCCACTATCATGAACACGTTGCAATTGACTTGTTCTTGAGGCCCCACGGCACGGGTACAGAGTCATTGAGTGATGTGTCAGCCTCTTTTCTAGATACCAGAAAGAGTCAATCCCTATGATTGTGTCAGGCCATTGTGACGAAGGAACACATCTTCGAACCTTGAATCGAATATGCTAGTCAAATTATCAACTGTGTTGATGTGCTTCTTCATATCAACCCCACTGATTGTTGCAATTAGTCTCGCCGAATTGTTTCCGAGTCAATCTCTTGTCGCTATCAGCTTTGACATGGTCGTTCGACCTTCTAAGGTTGTCCAGGTGGAAGATCAACATGTTAGTAATCCATTTCAGATCCCGAGGTCATGACAGACACACCCGGCAGTTCGGCTTGGCAGCAACACCGGTCTTTGCCGGTGAAGGCCCAGCAACGAGGTGGAGTGATCCAATTCCGCGCTCTGGAAATTTCCGCAGGGTCCCTTTCGGGCCATTTGTCAGCTTTGGGTTCCACAACATCTGGGAAACTCCTTGCTTAGAACCATTGAATGTTCAGGATGAATAATCGACAAGAATTGTGGGCTTCTGAGGGGTTGGAAGCTTGATTTAAGAGAGCTCCAGTTCCCGATATGGTATTTCATTCTACTAACTTTCTCCTCTCACCTTCAATCTAAAATAACTACCTCACCAAAACCAAAACAATGTCTCTCAAGCCTATCACCATTTACGGACATGGCCCGGGCCCCAATCCCTGGAAGGTGATCATGGTCCTGGAAGAGCTGAACATCCCCTACACCCACAAAATCGTCGACTTCCCAGATATGAAAAAAGAAGCATACGAGTCTATCAACCCCAACGGCCGTGTCCCCGCAATTCAAGACCCAAACACCGACATCAGCCTCTGGGAATCCGGCGCAATTGTTGAATACCTGGTTGACACATACGACAAGCAAAACACCATCAGCTTTGCGGCCGGCTCCAAGGAGTACTACCTTGCCAAGCAATGGCTCCACTTCCAGATGTCTGGCCAAGGCCCGTATTTTGGTCAGGCTATATGGTTCAGCCGCTACCACTCAGAGAAGGTGCAAAGCGCAATCGACCGCTATATCAACGAAATCCGCCGTGTTTCTGGCGTGCTCAACCGCGCCCTCGAGGGGAAGCAGTATCTCGTCGGTGACAAATTCTCATATGTCGATGCTGCTTTCGTTCCTTGGTATCTGCTTACTGGCCAATTTGGAATTGATATGGAGAAGGAGTTCCCCAATGTCGCTGCTTGGTTGAAGCTGGTGCAAGAACGTCCTGCTATTGCTAAGTCGGTCCAAGATCGGGCTGAGGCTTGTGCGCAACACTAAACGAATTTCATATAAAAATATTTGCGCGTGGATAAGAAGAAATGAAACAAAAAACTACAAGAATAGTCAGACGTTCATGCGGCCTCTGTCCTTGACGACGAAAGACTTTAATAATCTGATATATTTGGGCCAAACCGATATTAGCGGCGTTATTTGTAATAACATACGGATGTTCTTTTTAGATATTTACTTAAACGGCACAAAGGACTCTTCTATGTATGAACGGGGGTTGCGCCTTTATTTAGATTAACATATAACAGTGAGAATTGGCAGATGGTCACCTAGCCATACTGACTCGAAGTGTGTGCCAGTGACAGGCAACCTGTCCGTGGAAGCTGTTATCAGAGCAGTGGGAACACGGGGATTGCTAGGGATACGGGTCGTCTAGGCCATCCAACTGTGATTGGCCCAAAGTTGACGACGAGAAGTGACGCCTCCCCCACTTCTGGTCCTCGTCCAGATCGATCGTATAGGTTGTGCCACAATTCTAGAAGTCTTTTATTTTACTTCTTACTATTTCTCAAGTCAAGTTATTAGCTTTTTGGTATACTCAGGATATATTGGAGATAAAAGGGCTACTTAATGCAATATTATTGAGCCCTTATGCCTGTGCAATAGCTGTACAACATACTGTATGAGGTTTGTGGAGCTTACTCCGTGCCAGCAAGTCATGGCCCCTCAATACTGTACTAAAATTGACGATAGTGATAGTGGCAAACGCCATGCGGCAACGTCTATAGCTTGGCACGTATAAATGACGATGCACATTCACTAACTTTTAATTGTACCTAAGGGATTTCGGAATATTCAAACACAACAATCTCGATCGCTTCTTGCCGCTCTGACCGTACTTGATAAGAGTCGTGGTATGTGAGCTTGGTATCCCCCATTTTCGCGCTCAAGCTTTCAGTCGATAAGAATTCAACTAATGTATAGTTTGTTATATCGATTAGTTTTGCACATGTAGTCGAGGCTCTTGATCGGCATCGCATCGTGCAAAGCTCCCTTTCTTCAACAGACCAGACCGAATTTCACTAGAGATTATGCCTGCCCCGACAGTATCTTCCGGTGAGGACATCATGTCCCTACCGTACAAGAATGCGAAGCTTCCCATTGACGAGCGTGTTGAGGACCTACTGGATCGCATGACCATCCAAGAGAAGGCTGGGCAAATGTTTCATAATATGATGATAATGGGCCCCGGAGGCAGCCTTTTGACCGAGCCAAATGAAGCTTTTGGCATAGCATCCGTCGAAACGCTCCTCGGAGAGAAATTGATGACCCATTTCAATCTTGTTGGATTGGTTACCGATGCCCGCGAAACTGCGGAATGGCAAAACCGAATGCAAAAGAGAGCCCAAGCCACCAGACTCGGCATTCCTGTGACTATATCCACCGATCCTCGAAATCACTTTACGGATAATATTGGAACTGGATTTCAGGCTGGTGTTCTTTCCCAGTGGCCAGAAACTCTCGGCCTTCCAGCGATACGATCAAGGGAACTAGTCGAGCGATTCGCAAATGTGGCAAGACAAGAGTATCTTGCACTCGGAATCCGTCTGGCGCTGCATCCACAGATAGACCTTGCTACGGAACCTCGATGGGCTCGAATTGGCAAGACTTTGGAGAGGATGCTGACCTCTCGTCGGAGCTCGTCGCAGCATACATTCGAGGATTTCAAGGTCCAGAACTGGGTCATAATTCTGTGTCTACAATGACCAAGCACTTTCCTGGAGGTGGTCCGGAAAAGGATGGCGAAGACTCGCACTTTACCTATGGCAAAGAACAGGTATATCCGGGCGGAAATATGGAGTATCACATTCGTCCATTTCGAGCCGCTATTGCGGCGGGAGCCGCTCAAATGATGCCATGTAAGAGATCTCTGTTTTGAAGTGTATTTCAACAAATTTCAAAAGTGCCCATTAAGGCTAACTTATTTACAGATTACTCGATGCCGGTCGGGACTGAATTTGAGGAAGTTGGATTCGGATTCAACAAAGGTATCATCACCGGCCTCTTACGCGAAGACTTGAACTTCCCCGGTATCATTTGCACGGACTGGGGCCTTGTTACGGACGCTACAATTCTTGGGCAAGATATGCCAGCCCGAGCCTGGGGAGTAGAACATCTCAGCAAGCTCGAACGTGTGAAGAAGATCATCGACGCAGGCTGCGATCAATTTGGTGGCGAGTCTTGTCCCGAGTTTGTTGTTCAACTGGTTGAAGACGGTCTGGTTTCCGAGAGCCGGATTAACGAGTCAGTCCGAAGACTGTTACGGGAAAAGTTCGTCCTCGGACTATTCGAAAATCCGTTTGTGGATGTTGAAGCCGCTGCTTCCAATGTGGGAAACGCAAGTTTCAAAGACGAAGGTAGCAAAGCACAGCGACGCGCTTTCACGTTATTGACCAACAAAGACAATGTCCTTCCTTTGAAAGGTAGCCGATTGAAAGTGTATATAGAAGGCATTGATCCTGTCATTGCAGCTTCTCGACTGTTGGAAATAGTGGATACCCCGTCTGATGCAGACATTGCGCTTCTGAGGCTCAAAGCGCCATACGAACCACGGAGTGGCGGATTTGAAGCTAGGTTCAATGCCGGGTCATTGGAATATTCAAATCAGGAGAAGGCTCGACAAGCAGCAATTTTCAAGGTCGTGCCTACAATCGTCGACATCTATCTTGACAGGCCGGCTGTCATTCCAGAAATAGCTGCGTCGGCAAAGGCTCTTATGGCCAGCTATGGAAGTAGTGGCGATGCTTTTCTTGATATTGTGCTCGGAAAGGCTAGTCCGGAGGGCAAGCTACCATTCGATCTTCCATTTTCCATGAAAGCAGTCGAAGAATCTAGATCTGATATGCCTTACGATACTGCAGATCCATTGTTTCACTTTGGTCATGGATTATCCTACCCGATTGAACCAGTTGATTCAGTACCATAGCATTATCTCATAACAGGAAACATGACCACGAAAGTGGAACAATACTTGTCGACTCCTCTTATTGCTAGTCACCTTATCCAATCCGTTTTTGTTTACTCTTTATGTATGACTTGGGATCTTCCTGCAAGCTGGACCAGTTTACTCCGAGTGTCGCAGCATTATCTTGCTTATCTCTTTATGCACTCGGAAGATAAATATAGATAGGTATTTAACACGCCTGCTGTTTCCACACTCTTCTGATCTTTTCCTCAATCAATCAATCAATCCATATCGATCTCTCTCATCTAATTGGTTCCCCTTGGTAGATTACTGTTTTAGCATGCTCTAAAAAACAATTCCATGTCTTATCCTTGCCTTGGGGTAGGTATTCGCTTTATAATCTAACATGCAGAAGGAGGTAGCTCAAAGGTTCCAAAAGATTTACTGGAATAGATGCTAAGAGGCTATAGTAAGCCTGTTTTCGTGTCTACTCATTATAATTATTAGCAACGCCTACATGCAGCGTCCTACACACCTCGAAACTGAATTAACAATTTATTGCGGGATAAGTTTCGTAAGAATTTGAGGGGTTGACCGTTACACGGCTGTAGCTATAAAACTAGGGTCTGATAGGTAGGAGGAGTCTGTCAGCATGACATACAGTAGGGAAATGTGACGAAGATCAGTGGGGTACATGAAGTGCCATGTCAGGTCACGGTATAGGAAATAGGCAAAGATTTGATTATAGAAAGTGATCTCTTGATTGCGGTGCGTCTAACTAATTAAGAGAGTCCGAGAGACTCGACCAAACATAGGCAAAGAGGGCTCCAAGGCCATGCAAAAGTACGACTCTTCCGTGGCTGTCCTAAGCAGCCTAGAGGTAGTATCTGAAGCTTCTGTTCTCCCAGTCTGTCTGGATCACCCTTGCCAGCATCATATCATCCAAGTCGTGCTCGAAAATATCAATGGCCTCGGGATCAATGTACACACCCTGCTCCTTGTCACGGCGCTTGTTCTCCCAGTCTAAGTAAAATCTCAAGATTACAGCGAGACCAATGGCTACGGCAAGTGAGCCGAGACAGCCATTGTAAGCCGTCTAAAAAACATGAGCATGTATAGCTGATATTACCACCGCTAGGGAAGGAAGAACATACCAGGTAGTGTGGTGCCTCCTTTTCAATGAAGAGCTGTGGTCCAGCAATATTACCAGCACAGTAAACGATGAAGAAGTGAGCCTGAACGGTGGTCTTTTTGGTGAAGCCGGTGACATTACTGGCTAGTAAGCTGAGAAGGAGCGGGAAGGATGCAGCGAAAGAGTTCATAAGCCATGCACCGACGAGACGACCATATTTGTTTGATGTTGGCAGTTGTCGGATTAGCAGAATCCCGACAATAGTGATTATCCATGAAACTATACAGAGAATGATACGGGAGCGTCGAACTCGAGAAGATATGCCTGCGAGGGTAACTACGGCTACCAAACTTACTCCTGCGCCGGGAAGATTGAACAGAAGTGTCGTCAAAGTATCAAAGCCAAGACTGGTTATGATCAAAGATCCAAACTTGCGAATCAATTAGCCATTTTGAGCCAGTTGTTGAGATTGTAGAGAGCTTACATTTGCTACAACACCGTTGGCAAGAGAACCAACACCTATGATGACAGAAATCATCCACGTTTTTGGATCAATCATAGCTTCGATAAATTGAGCCTTCTCCCATTTAGTATCTTTGAAGCTGTGTTGCTTCTTCTGGGGACGGGCCTCTGCAAGCTTCCGTTCTTCGGAATTTAGGAACCGTGCCGTTAGAGGCGTATCCGGGAGAAAGACAAGTAGCACTAGGCCCCACAGGAATGTGATAACGCCTAGGATAATGAAGAGCCACTAAATGGATCATGCCGGTTAGGACAGAATCGTGTTTTTGTGGACAGAGTGAGACCAAACCCGCCATGTTTCAATCTTTGACTTGATATGGTTAACCCCATAAGCCATTAGGCTTCCTCCCAGCCCCCCAAAGCTGTTTCCTAAAAACCAGATGCCATGCCGCGTTGCATGCTCAGATGGCTTGTACATGCACAATCCTATAGTTAACACTAACGATTTCTTTTAGGATAGAAAGAGAGGCCTCTGTTGATGAGAATGCAAGGTAGAGAGCATCGTACCATATTCCAGTCATTAGACTGAACCCAGGGCTGATGGCACTCTCGAAGGCACCAAGGAAGATTCGAAGTACGACAAGTCCTGCAAATTTTTGCGCGGCACCATGGCAGCCAAGGGTGATTGCCCACAAAACACTGTCATTTGTCAGATAACGTACATGACATGGGTAGGTGGTAACAGTTGTGACTAACGCTGAGATCGAGAGTACTTTAGCAAGCGGAAATTTCACAAAGGCAACGCTCATCGGATAGCTTGCAGCAAGATAGCCGAAGTAAAAGACGCTGCTGAGCCACGAAAACTCCTGCCCAACGAGTTTCTACATATAGCAGTTAGTAAAATAGATTCCCAGCGTGTCCTCCAGAGCATGGCACTTAACAGTATCAGCGATAATACCCATAACTCCCGTGTTTCCCAAGCTAGTCTTGTCAAGAAATTGGAGGAGGTAGGAGATGGTCAGAAGTGGGAGAATGCTGTATAATCATTAGCAGTTTTCCTGCAGTGATATTTAACTGGATGCTGTTAACGCAACTTACTTCCAATCAATCTTGCGGAGAAGGGATTTCTCCTCTGCCTTGCTGTGCTGGATATCCTCCCCAGCTGTGATGCTACCAATCTTACCAAGATCACTGTGGCTCGATATCTTCACATCCTGCTCACCAGGCTGAGTACATTCGGGGACTCCGCTTTTCAGGGTTGAGGCAGTCATATTGGATAGCCTTCTTTACTCGAATTGAAAGGGATGCAGGAGGTCTCTGAGAACTCGGTTGCTGTAGGAAATTTCCTTCGATGTTCGATATCTCTATCTGACGGCCTCGACTGAGTTTATAGACAGATGACATTGTGATCTGGTAGTGGTAGCCAGTATAGATAAATAACAGATAGAGATGAGAAGAGAACTCGGGAGGCTTTCGGTGGTCTAGAGTTCCAGGCCATCCAACTGTGATTGGTCCAAAGTTGACGACGGAGAGAACGGAGAGACGCAAAACTGCGCTCCCCACAAGTGGCAACTTTTGTCTTGTCCAATAAAGGACTTTGGAAATTTTGCGGGGAAAGTTATAAAGAGATTCCAAGGGATTGACTAACTAGTAAGCGAGTGGCGTGGCCCAAAACATATAGTAAATCCAATATTTTCTTCACAAATATATCAACAACCACTTTTGGAGTTTATTTCATTCCTTATAGATAACTGTTGATAAGTCTTACTACCAGCATATAATCCGAAAGCTGCAATATTATAGTATCGAAAATTACATTGCTATGAGCGGGAAATACATGTCTCTTAGTCATTAATTAGCTAAATCTCTCGAAACTGCCCAAAGGAGCTGGATATCATATAAAAAATATTAGGCTATAAGGAAAAGTTCCTATAGGCCACCTTGTTAGCATATCACGTTGTAACTTATCGCGTTTACAATATGGGCGCCGCGTCACTCGCTTACCGAATATTCGTTATCAAAGAGGCTCCACAGTTCTATCATCTGTCCAACTATGATTGGTCTAAAGTTGACGACGATATTGTACTTTGTAAGTGCAGATAGCGCCTCCCCCACTTTCACTCCGCGTCCGGATCCCGTTATCGATAGTACAGGACATCCTTGTAAACCCTAAGACTCCTCCGATAGACACTCCTTAGCTTTACCTATAGCCCTAATCTCCCCGCAAACTTTAATCGCCAAGTTTCTACGTCAAATTTAAACCTACGTAATCCTCCAATCGATGCCAGGGCTTAGTCGATACATGTTCGAACCCATCACCGATTAGCCGTTGCCTACTCTACAAACTCCTTTTCGTCGTCAAAAGCGCACTTGATCATCGTATAGCCGAGCCTAGTAGGTGCATGATTTCTGAGATTTCATGGATCAACCGCCTCCTTCTCTCCGGACTCGAAAGAGATGCAACCCAGGCCGCTCTAAGAACGGTAAGGAACTCCTATAGCAACGCTGGTTCAAGAATGCCTGGCAAGAGCAGGCAAAGGTCTTGTGCTGCATTACTCTTTTCAGCCCGATTGTTTTCCTAATATTATATTATGTCAGACATGTAAAAAAACCTCTTCTTCACATGGCCATCTACTTATGCCTTTTCATTTTATAGGATGCCTGACATGCCGTGAGAAAAGAGTCAAGTGTGACGAGGAACGTCCGTCATGTAACAGATGTACTCGTCTACATCTGATGTGTCGTGCGCCAGATCCGGATTCTATCCCACCTTTTGTTAAATGTCGACGTCGCTCTTTCATCTCGCAGAAGTCGCGAGACCAAAACATGAGGCCCTTGAGGGAATTGTATCCCAGTCCACCTCAGATGCCCCTTGGAGATGACCCATATTACTCGTACCAAATCCCTTCGCCCGCGAACAACCAGAGGCTGGCTGCCGACACTATCAATGGCGACGCCGACTTTCCTCAATTCTTGCGGAGCATTCCCACGGACGAAGACCATGTATTTTCCACGAGCCTTGAGCGAGCCTCCGCTGCTCGTGTTATTGGAGTAATAGACGATCTGCCCGGTGACGAAGATTTTGTGGATCTTTGGACTTCGCAATTACAACACATCAGCAATGAAGATTCTGCAATGCAACCTGTTGTGGGGCAATGCCCTGACTACAGCAATGGCCGGGCTGATATCCATGCGACTATGAGAGCTCGAGGTCTGCTAGATGGTTCAGATGCCTGGAATCACAACTCCATTCTGGACCTTGATGTTTATTCTCCGGCTTCCACAACAATATACCCTCTACCCAGGCCAATATCATTATATGACGTTGAATTACCAAATTCTATAGTCTTGGCACCTGAAGATCACAACGCGCTGATGTACTATCAATCTGAAGTTGGGCCTTGCCAAACGACAAGAAGCCCTCGATGGTCTTTTTCTGCTCTACTGTTGCGCCTTGCTCTACGGAGCACTATGACAATGCACCTATTGCTAGCGGTCTCACTACACGATCTGTCTATGGTCCAGAATACGCCCGGGAATTTATAGTCTGCCAGTGCGCATTTCAAGGAAGGAACCAAAATGCTCATGGAAATCATAACTTCCGGTGCCGCTGGAGACTATCCTATTATCATCTCAGCTTTCTACTTCATGTATCTTTACTTGACAAGGCGGGTTTATATGGACAGGCTGGAGATCGAGAGGCTCAGCTGCACTGCTATTGATTACATTGAGAAATGCTCTTTCGACGGCCTTGGGAATATTTTATCTCCAAAGCGTCATTCAGCTCCTTCTGATACGCTTGAATGCAGGGACCTATCAGCACCAACAACGGAACAGCGTTGCAACTCAAGCATGGCAGCTAGATTAATTATATGGCTATACAGTGAAGATTCTTTTATCGGCTTTCATGGCTGTGGGGGCGACTTGAGCAAGCGCCTTTCGAAGAATCCTGGCCGACTTGACAGACTTCGTCAAATATCATCCGATGCACTGAGTCTCAACTGGGGTGAGGATTATCCCGCAGATGAAGTGCTAGTTGATATCAACCACTTTCACCCTATCGATATGCTGATTGACATGATAACCCTACATCATGAAATCATCGAACGCAACAACGCCTACATGGAAATGAGCTTCACTGAGGCATCAAATAAGCTTGATTCTGAATTTTCAATCTTGGAAATAGTATGTACCCTTCTAGATATCGAACTTCTCATGTACTGTACTAATCCGACAATCCAGAAGTACGCATCTGTCTTCCGGCTTGCAGCTAGTACCCCTAATGAAAATTCGGAGATATGGCTAAACTCTGGCATCTCGATCATTATTTTTCACGCGCTACAAATCTGCTGGGCACGTTGCACTGGGTCTTCGTTTGGCAGCCGAGCTTCACCCCCCACTGAACGTGCTCTTGCATCTCTCCTAACCTTGGCTCAGCGAATTTGTAGCAGAAGCTCACCACCGAAATTCGAAAGATTTCATTGGGCACTGTTCATTGCTGGCATTGAAACAAATGATCTTTTGCACCGAGAGTGGATATTAGGAAAGATTGCAGGAGTTCGTTTGAACATGGCCATAACGAAAGTCCTGGCCGCTAAGGACAGGAGTGGAACTATTAGCATGGCTACGATCAGGAAGTTGCTTAGCGGTGCGAAGTCTTGTAACCGGAATATTGAGATGTAGGATAGCATCCGAACTGTCTTAATCAGTCCATCAGTTCATCAATAAATTATTTGATCAAAGTTCAATTAACACGTTGCAGTCTAACTAGTTGCGTTATGAGTTTTGGGTGATAATCGAAGGACTTAACCTGATTTCATTCGATGAATTCTACAGGAGAAATTCTTTTCGGGTGATAAGTAAGCATTTTATCTAGCTGAAAAGAGGTAACATAAATCTTCATGGCTAACTAGACAGACGGCCCTTAGTGGGATAGAGCTGGCTGTCGAGCAGTTTCAAGCAGTTTCAAGCAGCTTCGAGCAATCTGAGTTACTGTACCCCATTCCCCATAACACCCTATTCCCCATATGATTTTTATGTGGAGATAAGCGCACTCACAGTTCTGCCTACTGCCCGTCGTCAACTTTTAATGCGCTAATGAGTCCACTACGGCTTGAGGGTTGACGACCGCCACTGATACTCAGGACTAATTGGATGAGGCTTCCTGGTGCCGATTACAACCAATTTAATTTACGTATAATTGTGATTAGATAGCTTCTAAGAGGCAGGCGCCCCCGCCGTATCAGTTGGGAAGCTGCACTAGCAAGTTTTGGTAGTAAAGAAATAGCAGCTTCTGCTTGCCCCAACTTCCTTTCTCATTATATTTTCCAAATGTGCTGCACTGACTCTGAAGTACTGAACATGACACTGAGACACTCTACTTCTTTAGTGAGAGAACCCGTTGCGGTGCAGAAACACAACTCGAATAGCTATGATACAGCTAAAGCAGCAATCTTGAAAAATATTGACGACCTTGACACCGATCTTCAAGCCATCAATCATAAGGTAAGGGGGCTCTGACTTTGACTTCTATGGAAATAAATTTGACTAATAATCCTTGCGCTCACCTAGATCCACGCCAATCCGGAACTCTGTTTCGAGGAATTCCAAGCTCATAATAACCTTGCCGATCTCCTCGAATCCCACAACTTCACAGTTACACGCCATGCCTACGGTATTCCTACCGCCTTCTGTGCTGAGTTTGGTCATGGTGGCCGCGTTCTCACCCTCTGTGCAGAGTACGATGCGCTCCCGGGAATAGGTCACGCCTGTGGCCACAATCTAATCGCTGTCTCCTCGGTTGCATCATTCTTCGGTATTGCAGCTGCCCTGGCCGTCTCCTCTATACCAGGTCGTGTGCGTCTTCTGGGAACACCAGCAGAGGAGTGCGGTGGTGGGAAAATCAAACTGATCAATTCTGGGGCCTTCAATGACGTGGATGCAAGCATGATGCTCCACCCCGTGGGCAAGGGCGCAATTCCCACCGGCACTACAGGTTTGGCCTACGGAACTTGTCTTACAGGACAAGTATGGAATGTAGAATTTACTGGCAAGGCGGCTCATGCTGGTACTGCGCCGTGGGAGGGCATCAACGCTCTGGATGCGGCTGCACTTGCATATAGTGCCGTGGGGTTACTGAGACAGCAGATGCGGCCCGCGAATCGAATTGGACTTGTTATCAAGGACGGTGGGAAGAAAAGTAATATCACGACGCCTCACTCTACAGTCGAATGCAGCATCCGGACTCAGACACTGAAGGAGGCCAAAAGTATCAAGACGAGAGTGGAGAACTGCTTTAGAGGTGCGGCGTTGGCAACCGGATGTGAAGTTACTTTCAAATCTGCGTACGTTATACTTGAGCTGCGATTCATTCACTGCTGTCCGATCATGGACTAATTTGAGCTTCTAGTATGGACGTGTACGCAGATCTACGCTCCAATGAAACTCTCTGTACCGAGTTCACTTCAGCAATGAGCGAGTTTGGGGTGCTGTATCACAATGATATCACCAATAAAACGGCAGCCTCCTTTAGCACTGATATGGGTATGTGGTTTTAGATCTCTGATCGATATACTTCATTTTCTCATTCAAATGTTGTAACTAACGGGAACAAAAGGCAATGTCTCTCACGTCGTCCCTACGTTTCACGGTCTCTTCGCCATCGCAGCCGAAAATGGCGAAGCAAATCACACGCCTGAGTTTACTAGAATTGCCATCTCAGATGAGGCATATGGGAGCGCAATTATTGCGGCTAAGGGCATGGCGATAACAGGTTGGAAGTTCTTGGCTGATGATATACTAGCTAAGAGTGTTCTATCGGACTTTGAAAACGATGTATCAACGAGGGAGAGAGAATAGCGCGTTGTATCTAGTTATACTACTGAGGAGTCGTGGGTAATTGAAACGCCTTATACTACTCCTCAACTATAGCTTCAAGTAAAGAATAGACAGCTAAAGGCTCAAAATAACAGATGGAAGAGGACGAGTGCAAGTAGGATGACACATATAGATAAAGACGTTTTATTGATTTAGGAAGGGCTAGAATACTCTCAAAGTATTAATATAATCGGGATGGGAGGAGAATTACATAAACGAGAATTTAATGTGCCAAAGAAAATCACGCCTAACGATTGTCCGAAGGATCGCGTGTGGAGCGAAAGAGGGCGCTTAGACATGTGAGAGGCAAACATGCAACACCAATCTAATTTCATCCCTCAGAGTCACAATACTCTACAATTTTCCTGCAACTCGTTCAATTTATTGTTTCTGTAGTGCTTGACGCCTTCTAATGCTAGAAGACTGCAAGGATGACCCGACGCGCGACATCCCCGTTAGAAGACTCCCAATTGTTGACTGAGAGCTCAGCAGCCACCTCCAAGCCGGATATTCAGTCGTATTGGCCAAATATTGGAAGCAAAGAGCAGATTCCAGGATGGCTGCGTGATAATGATTTTATTTTGGAAGGCCATCCGATGCCCACGTACTCATACAAACGATCTTTGCGTCTGTGGCGTTGTTTACATATGGAAACAATGAACATCTGGACCCATCTGTTAGGCTCAATGGCCTTCATTGCTGTTGGTTTTCTCCTGAGTAATTTCGTCTCGCGTTCAAAAGACCTGGATTTCACCCGCGGCGATGTATTTGCTTTCGGATCCTTCTTGGCGTCGGCAATCATATGCTTTGGACTCAGCGCTGGCTTTCACACCCTAAGAAGCCACTCTTACAATATCCACCATCTCTGGGGCAAAATGGATATTCTCGGCATATGTTTCCTCGCTCTTGGAGCCGGTACTTCTATGACATATTATGCATTTTATTGCAGACCCTTCATCCAGCGGTTGTGTTGGGGACTGAATCTCTTCTCGGCGATTGGCGCTGCCGTCACTTTGTTTGATACGGGCGGCGGAGGCGACAAAATGAGGACTCTGCGAGGAGGCGTCTTCTCATTGCTTGCTATATCTGCCATGCTGCCAATCCTACAAAGTGTGATTGAGCTGGGCTGGGCTCGTGCGAGTAATGAAATCGGGGCTGGTTGGTATCTCGCAGAAGCACTCTCCCTCTTGACTGGAGTGAGCGTTTTCGTCGGTCGATTCCCAGAGAGATTGAGTCCCGGGACCTTTGACATTTGGGGCCATTCACATCAGCTTTGGCATACATTTGCTGTGCTTGGCGGCGCTTTTCATGTCGTTGCTTTGGTGGCTGCATACGACTACCGTCGGATGCACAAAATCTGTTAAAGTTACTGCGCAGCGCAGCGTTATTTGACTACTGCTCGGCATCTAAGGCAATTCACCCGAAGCTGCTCTCTAATTCCCGTAGTGCCAAGAGGCGTACCATAGATGGATCCGTTAAAGGCCACTAGCTTGACATGCGCAAATGCCCGCCGTCACTTCAGAGGCTACAGTCTCTCAGAGGTCGTTGCATAGTGATGTCGACATTTGCTCGACTAGAGCAGAAACGTTCCCTAAATTATGGGGTCACGACACTGTTTAAGATATTTATAGTATTTGGGATTCAGGTTACAAGGTGGTAGCTCGGAAGAGGTTCCTTGACAATGTACACATGCACCCGTATACAAGATACTTCACCATAAACAGGAAGATGAAAATAATTGTCTTTTATGCGCGAGCTTCTTAGCAGTGTTGCATAATTATTTCTTTTTCTTGTTACACCCGCTTCTCTTTTATCTCACATGCGGGCTACATTAAGTAAGATCGGCACCGAATTGCTCGTGTCAATTTCGCGTCGATCTGTGCTTAGATATTCGTGTTTGTAAATCTGTATTTGTTTGAATATTCTATTCTCAAGTTTCCCTTCCATACCTTTGATTGTTTGTCTATCCCTTCATCTATCACACACAACCTCATTTTATTATTTCATGTTATATTAATTGCAGATTAGAAATTCGAAGAAACCGAGATAGTAAGCCACTTCTTCAGCGCCGGTGGTCTCCGGTGGGCGTGGAATGCCTTAGTGCCGACCCCGCAATTAAGTTCACGAATCAGACCCCGTAGGAATTCACCGTGTTCTTATCTGCTGACAAGCCCTTGCATAAGTCTTTATTTTTGCTGCAACATCGGCTGGCTTCATGGCAATGTGACTCGCATCGAGTGGAAACCGCCGGCACCTAAAACTATATAAATCAACTGTATTTTCGCTGACCTTCACAAATAAACACTCCACAAGCTACTTTGTGCTGTGTCTCTCAAAAGATTTCTCCAACAATGGTATCTCTATCCAGGGTTGCTTTCGTCACCTTCGGGGTGATTCATGGGGTAAATGCGTGGGGCGCATTGGGCCATGCGACTGTTGCCTATGTTGCACAACATTACATTTCTTCTGAAGCGGCATCATGGTAAGTCCACCCCAAATCGCTTCAAAATAGCGACAGTGTTGAATTCTAATGTATTCCCAGGGCACAGGAAATTCTGAACGACACTTCTAGTTCATACCTAGCAAATATTGCTTCATGGGCGGACAGTTATCGCCTCACAACTGCCGGTAAATGGTCAGCCCCATTGCACTACATTGATGCCATGGATGATCCCCCAACAAGCTGTAACGTGGATTACGAGCGCGACTGTGGAGCTGAAGGCTGCTCAATCTCTGCAATTGCCAATTATACCTTGCGTGCAGGCAATGGCAGACTTACCACTGCCCATACCGCCGAAGCACTCAGATTCCTTGTGCACATTATTGGCGATCTCACCCAGCCACTGCACGACGAGAACTACGAGGTTGGCGGAAATGGCATCAAGGTCACTTTCAACAGCTACAGCGATAATCTTCACGCGGATTGGGATACATACATGCCTGTGAAGTTGATTGGCGGCAGTTCGCTCGCTGATGCACAGGGGTGGGCCAATAGCCTGGTCGATGAAATTACTTCCGGCGCCTACAAGACGCAAGCTATGACCTGGATCAAAGGTGATACTATCAGTGATACTGTCACCACTGCTACACGATGGGCGTCGGATGCCAATTCCTTTGTGTGTACTGTTGTTATGCCAGATGGAGCTGCTGCCTTGCAGACAGGCGATCTCTACCCAACATACTACAACTCTGCAATCGGAACGATCGAGCTGCAGGTTGCCAAAGGTGGTTACCGACTAGCCAACTGGCTCAACATGATTTATGATCAAAAGGTTGCTGTAAAGAATCAGCCAGGGAAATTCAGTAAGGGACTCCGAGATGCAGCTCCCGAGCCTGAGTTCGTCCGTGAGTCTCTCCGTGAGCCTCGTCAAATGAGTCGCGCAAACCTGGCTAGAGCAGCTATGGGAGGATCTTGCTGCACCTCAGAAGGACGTGAGCATAGGCATTGATCCGATGGAATTTGAAGAGAAAATAAATGTTGTAGATCTACCTGAGACCAGCGAGCCTTTGTTTTTCTAGAACTCATTTTGGTATACATAACGTCCTTAACATCTTATACAAACTGGCTTTACTATATATTCCTCTCCCACATTTAACATGATACATACGACCATAGGGTGTGGAAAACAGGGCTTCCCGTCCGCTCAGCCGTACTTAAGCCACACGCCGGTGAGTTAGTAGTTGGGTGGGTGACCACCAGCGAATCCTCACTGTTGTATGTTTCTGTTTTTTATTTACTATCATTGCAAATGAGTTGCGTACGGTTTCGTGACATCTTTTTAGATGTATGTGAAGGAAGGCGGTAAAAAAAGCATACTTTGTGCAAGCGACTTTTCTATGTATAACCTGTGATTGAAAGGTGTATGTCTTTCGGGGTCACAAATTGTTTTTATAAGTGTTATATTTCTCCGCAGCAGTTGCGCATGACTCGCTGGCGCCTATCTTGTAGTAACCACAATCAGAGGTAGTGCCGGAGATTGTGGAGGGCACAAAACTGGACGATATCTGATTTTATTTTAAGACAACCACACGACTGTTACTTTTATGTGACAGACCTACGCTGTGGTAGTGACCGGGCTCCTGAGCCACTTGTAGTGCTTGAAGAGACCGTGCTGGTGGCGGGAACGGCATAGTCCCCCGAGGGATTGCTGACGCAGATCGTCTGATTGAACAGAGTGTTTCTTACAACCGGTTGCTCGGTAGTGGAGAGACTGATGGGAAAGGTGAGAAAGCCGCGTTGTGGCAAAAGCAGCGAAGTATACTAGACCCTTCACGTTGATTGATGTTTTTCGAGTCTTGACATGAGTAGTAGCAGACCTCCCTCCGATCCGAAAACTTAGCTTACCATCTTAAGTTATCAAATCCCTTTAGAGATATTCAAAGAACATACATAGTCTTAAGCGACAGAGGGAAGAAACAAAATTACGATAAACTCGAATAAAGGTACTACAACATAGTCAGGTACTCTTATCCCCGCTTAGATATATATGCGGAGCAGCACCTATCATCTTGTCACCCTCTGTTACCTTGGTCTCCAGAATTCTCACCCATATCACCCACTCTTACCCTAAGACAATTTTCCTCACCACTTTAATGTTTAAGGGGTCTCGAGAATTGGCCGGGGAGAGTAACCGGCTATTATCTGTCGGCCATCCCCCGAGCCTTATGCATCGGCATCCACTATCCTCGGTACAGAGTACCGGCCCGTTTCTTTCCCACTTTAGCGCTCTGGTCGTGACTTGGCCCCCGTGTAACGGAAATGAGCGACTGACTCCACAAGTGGCGCGCATTCCGGACGGCCCGTCAGTTCCATATATGGCATACGTCGAGTTCGATCTCATCTTTTTCCACTGTTTGATCTGTCCATGTGACCGACGGATATGCCCGTGATGTATGCAGGTTTCAATGTCGATTTGGTTTAACGCCTGTAACTCATAAGATGAGCAGATCTCTCGTGTATTTCCTCTTATTTATGTTACTTTTCGGGGCCATGTCTGTACGGAGAAATCTTTGTTCTGTACTGCGCATGGAGTAGAGTTTCCCCTTTCTCGTACTTTTTTTCCATCTAGTTACCCACATGTGCACATGATGGCCACTATTTGACCGAAAATTGCGAGATGTGTAATTCTGGTAATTGTACATACGCGCGGTAATTTTGTATGTCTTGCCAAGCCCTTGACTAGTAGTCCTTTCGGTGGACCCAACGTGACATTGCAATCTTACATATTCGGTAGTTCCAGTCTTAGTGTTTTTCGTTTCTTTTCAGATTTTGTATTTATTTTTGCAGCTTTGAATCGCCATTATTAGCTGACCAGAATATTGTTGTCTATCCTTCGGTCTCCTCGCTCTAAAGACAATGACCCTCCCGGAATTACCGATATGGTATCGGACGTGAGTACTTCTGGATATATTGTTTGAAATTTATACTAAGTTGAATAGCATATTGTTGATACTGGCTATCATTTCATTCCTTCCCCAATTCTTGCGTATCCAGACCAAGCATAGCATCACTGGAATCTCGTCGTTCTATATCTTGTGCAATTTGATCAGCATAACAGAGCAGTTCACCTTCTATTACTACTTGCTATTCAACGAATATGACCCTGAAGGCGGTGTTGTCTTTCTACACGATCCCCCAAGCGCAGGGGACTGGTTTAGTCTGTGCCAGACTGCTGTTGTCTCACTGCTTTTTCTCGGATTGTGCGAATATCCCCCGTTCACTTCCTCGTGTAAGTGGTTTTTTAGTACTTATTATTTTTATTTCTTAGTCTCGTACAGGTTCTGCGCTATAGCAAACACAGAGTCTCTCGAGTCGCTATCTACATCGGATATCTCCTCGTATCCATCGTCCCGCTTTGGACAGAGTCCCTTTGGCCCATGGAACCGGGCCTAGATCGGAATATATTCTCGACATTTTGGCTTGTCGTGCACATGGTTATCATTTTTCCGATAGTTACAGGACTAGGGATATTAGCCATATTCCTCCAAGCTCGTCAGATCTACAAAGTGCCTCTTCCTAATGCGCTCAGCGTGCATAGTCTAGCCATGCAAGCTGTCGTGTTTATGCTAGTCGCGGTGGCATGGATATGGAGTGTTCCATTCGAATATGAGGAGCTATTTGGGGATTGGAACTGGACCTCCGTTGGTAGGTGGTATGTGTTCGCCGGATGGGTTATCGTGGATGCCTTTGTCTTTGCCCTGGGTCAGGCAGCGCTCCTAGTAGTGGCTCTGCGCCGTTCGCCCGCAGCTATTGCTATACAAGATGGCGAGACACAGCCGCTTTTGGGGTGATAAGGAATAGAGAGGGAATGTCGCGTCATGTGCTTGTATTTACATAAGAGCCTCAATCAACTAATGTAAATTCCACCGCATTGCTAGCTGGCACAACGACCGTGGGTCTGCCGTCATTGTCTTCGGGATATTGAACCTTGGCCAAAAGCCACCCGGGCACCCAAATCACGGTGTCTTCATGGTCTTCCAAACTGCCCCAATTCCACCAGTCAAGCGTAGCCCCTTTGAATAGGTACCGGAATTTATCACCTGAAGCTGCATCCTTTGGAAATTCGCTCACTTTGCGGGTGAACGACCAGGATTCCCCAGGCTTCAGGGTCCAGAAGTTGTTCTCATCATTGCGACCAACATTGAGTGCGGTAGGTTCGGTGATTATAAAACCCCTCTGGTGCGTTCTCCATTCATATGGAGTCCACCCATCATTCCATTCCCTATACAGCCTGTAGCCCTGGTGATGATCATCGGGTTGTTTGAAGATGAACGAACGGAATGTTATCGGTCTGTTACTGTGTGATAACTCTGCCCCTGCATCATATGACACAGTGACAGTGAGAGGGTACCGTGGCATTGAGAAAGCTTGGTCTTTCATTGATAGGGTAGCAGGACCGGAGATTCTGACATTGAAAACAGGCGCACCGTGTACACGGGCAGATGGCGAAATGGCGCGCGGTGAAGGTGGAGGCGGGTCCTCAAAATATTCAGGGTCGCTCTCGTAGTTAAATGTCGCAAATGACTCGTATGAGGGACCGGGAAGTATTACCGGGGGAGATTTGGGAACAAGCTTATGTTCACTGTGTTCTGCTAGCGTGCCCCAGTCCCAAAGAGGGATTTGACCACCTGGCCAGAGGAGTAAATAGGCTGCTTCTGAACCGCAATTCTTGAGATACGCAGCTGGCAAGGGCACCTTACAGAAGACCCTACTACCCGGGACCAGCTCCCTAAAGTAAGGATCCGATGCGGTTACTTGTCGTGGGATCAGGAGTTTTGTAGGCAATTCTTCAGGGTCCACCTCTCTGAATTCGACGCTCCCCTCTCCATGGTAGAGTAATATCATACCCGACTGATTACAGCCGTCTTCGATGGGGTTCCAGTGAATGATGCATGGCCGTGTATGCGGATCGTCTGCAGCCCGCGTGATTGTGAAGACGACATTGTAAATCAGGTCGTCCGCCAACAAGTCCACGCTTGAATCTCCTCTAATTGTGAGACTGAGGTGGGGTGTGTCTGTTCTGTTCTGATTAGTCTCTTTTTTGCTGGCTTTGAGAGATCTTCTTACATTCTGTCTTTGTCAGAATATTTCACAAGGGGTAGCAGCTGTTGATCCATGACTTCTTCCACGAGGATATGCTGCCAGCTGTGGGATGTTCGGCGTTGGAGATGCCAGTGGTAAATTACCACTAGAGCAACTTGGCAAGAAGCGAGCCCCCTGTTTTTTTTCTTCTTTTCTTTTGGTATCGGTATGTATACCAGATTGACGGCCGGATAGATTAAGAGCGGACGGCTGTTTATTCATAATCCATTGTTACAGCCCTTACGAGACCTTACCGATTCACCGATCGTCGGCAGTAAGAATATTGGCCTTCCATGCGCTTCAAGCACCCTAAAGCTGCCGAAACCACTGGTATGGCTAAATACGGAGTATTTTACTCAGAAAATCCTGTGACAGCGAATAGGTGAGTCACGAAAGTGCATGGCCCCTCCAGGGCTGCCCAGGATAGTGAGCTTAGTCAGATTGTCCGTTGCAATTCGTCAGTTTAGGTAGCTACTTGCCCAGGTGGCCCTGCGCTTTCACCCCTAACCCCTTTTGAAAACCCCAAAACGGTCATTGGGCTGTGCATTATTGGGCCTGAATATGGAGTACGGATTTTTATACCACTGAATTGTACGACACATTTTTGTACCACAGGTTTGTGTCACTACTACTCCGTATACTCCGGACATTGGGCTCTAGCGTTGCTCCAGGATTCGATGCGGAAACTCCTGGGAAGAGCGGGTAAATGCTATTGGTACTGTGCAAACAGTGTTTTACGGCAGAGCGTGAACGTACCTGAGTTAAGCATGGAGCTATTTAAAGCTTCTAGCAATTCTGGTTCCAGATGCGTAAACCATGTGAAATAACCCCTGTGAGCGGATCGGATTCAATAGAGACGTTTCTAATCTAACATAGATACAAAAAGGGAGAAAGGAGAAGAAGGGAAGCAGAGAAGACGACAAATCGAAACAGAATAGAAGCCCAAAAATGGGCCGCTTGATATTGGCTATTTAGGTTCATACACGGCGTCGATTTTTTCCAGGATAGCATCACGGTATAATGCCATACTAGGACTGCGCGGATGGAAGGCTTTGATCTGTGAGGTAGGGTAGAACATGTTAATCTCCTTAACATTCACATTCCCGTTCGCAATACCCTGTGTGGCCTTCGCATAATCCTGGGCCCATTCACCATTTGGATTCGCATCTATCTCCACAGAGACCATACACAACCACTTTACATACGGGTCTGGATCAGAGCCTAGTGATGCGTTGCAATTTGAGGAGTTCGGGAGATTGATGGACCCTGCCTGCATCAGAGCAGCCATATCATCGGAGTTGGACGACTGGGCAACTTCGTTCTCCAAGGGAAGATCTGGCCAAGAGCTCAGGAAGAAATATGTGCTTGGGACACTAGAATCAGGCTCGTGCCAAGAGCCTTGTTCACACCAGCGGTGTGAGTCGAACCTCTTCTGCACATCGACATAGTGGACCTGGGTTGTTTTGGCTTTAGCGTTGGCGTCTCTGACAGCGTCTTCAATCATGTTGTTTAATTGACCAACTAGAACGTTGAGTTCTGTGCGTAGGTCACGCGTGAGCATAACACGATTACCGGAAGGTTGGTAGTCAGACTTCCAATAATCGAAGGAGCTCTGGTCACAGTCAATGGTATCCTGGTTGAAGAATCCGATATAGCCAGTGACAAATAGATTGAATTCTGTTTTCTCTGCTTTGTCGAGGATACTCTTGTAGAGCGTTTTGAGCTTGTGTCGCAGGCCGGTTTCCCCTTGATCATTCAAAAGACTGCCAGCTTTATGCTCGGACTCAAGACATAGTTCTCGATATTTGCCGAGTGATCTCAAACTCCAAGGTTGCACAACACAGGACAATGCAATATCGCTGAAACCAATGTCGTTACCTCCCATAGTCAAAGTGGCAAAGCTCGCAGTGGATTGGCTCTTCCATTCCTTGATCTGACGTTCAAGCCCAGTTGTTGTATCGCCCGAGCACACCTTCCTCTCAAAGGGTATTTCCTCTCCCAAGTATTTGTTCAACAGTGTTCCATAGTTGTTTGAACCAACACGGCATTTGTCGCCCGTTGCCTTGGCGGTTCCCATGCCCGCAGCGAAGGAATCACCAAATGAAACCATCCCCGTGGGCTCAAACCCATCTCCATCGTTTTGATCAATTATAACGTCGTTGTATTGCGTGCACCCAGCATCAGTTGTGGAGGGACCGGTGGATGGGATTGGTATGGTCGTCTTGCACTTCCAACTGAAATAAATACCAGCTGTGATCAAGGCCCAATTGTCGGCATTCTCTCCTGACAGTTCGCGCGAACAAAGTCCATCTGAGCCATCTGGGCTGTATTTGGACACGATGCCCTAGAGATGTTGGCATATTCTTGACATCCGCGATTGAAGCTTCCATCCGCGAGGGCCTTGCTGGATTCTTACCCATATGTAAAGTCTCTGGCTATGAAATCTCTGCCATTGAAGGTACTTTTATCGGACGGCGGAAGAAATGCAGCTTTGGTGTGAGTCATTTCATGCACGATAATGGTTGAGAGCGAATGGTGAGCTTCCAAGATAGTGGGAGGAATCTGAGCGATTCTTTCACTGGTAGGTGCCATCTTCTCGCTTCGAAAGAATCTCTCACAGATGTTCACTGTTTTGTGTAATGCATTCATAGTGGCAAGATCTTTTCTATCGCGAAAGTTATTTGTGTAATGACAGGTAATCTTGACCTTAAAATTTGCTGTTCCATCGAGCATTTCCTCAATGCGTCTGTAGACCGCGACTGCTTCTTTGGCAAAGTTCGGTCGAGCTCGAACACTTGGCGCAAAGAATGTTTGATAATATTCTCCCGTCTGCAGATACTTCTGTGCCGCTTGAACCGTTTCAATTGCGTATCCAAACTCTGTTCCGATTATTTTTCTTTGGCTAGCATCGCACTGAGCCCCGGTTGGATCCGTCGCCCAAATCAGGTTTGGGGGGATTTTCACGCCGCTAGTATCGACATCGTCCTTGGATGCACAAGTTCCCGGTGGGCATTATCCTCGACTACAGGTGAAGTCGCAGAGATTGTTAAGAATGTCAGACTGGCCAGGACCTGCTTTCCCCCCAGATTTAGTCTGGGCTGGGGGCTGGACAAGAGCTCCCGTTTTGGTGCAGACACATAGATTTTTGGGACAATAACCGTAGCCACAAGCATATGAGCAAAGACCGCTAGCACTGCCCTCGCCTGTTCCAGCGACACAGGCAGGTGGCAGGAAGTCTGAAATTATCGGAACAGGCATAGTGTGTTGCGTCGTGTCGCATAGTTTGGTTGGACAATGGCCGTAATTGCAAGCGAAGCTACACAACCCCGCGTAATTGGCATCTCTATCCTCCGCGGGATAGCCAATTGTTCCCGTTGCCTTAGGCTTTTTGTGAGCGACGCCCATCTGTTCACAGGTGCAGGCGCCAACGGGGCAATGACCGTAAGAACAAGTAAACTTGCAAAGGTCGTTGAAGTCATATGCGCCCTTTCCTTTCACGCATACCTGATCTGCTAGGTCCACCTCAGTGTTATAGGACCCGGCCGTCTGGAATTTCCCTGTCAGGCTTCCCACCCATGCATTGTAGTTGTTGATGTCTTTTCCACAACGAGAAGAGATCTCCCAACCCACGGCTGAGGCACTCTCAACATCGCCTTTATACAGAGTGATCTTAACTTTGCCAGGGCTTGCTGGGTAGCTTCCGAACCGAAGACCAGGTCCAAGCTCGTCATCCGGCCGGGAGTCCCACTCGAGGACGCCAGCATCTGCGTTAACATCGACTATTACCCCATGGTTCCCATCCTGAAGCAAAGCCATGACAAAGATCCGGTCTTCCAATACATTGACCGGTTCAAACTCGATCTGCAATTGAGAGGCGGTGCTGACTGTTGTACCGCCAGTAGCACAAGCAGATACTAGGTTTGGACGGTACCAGAAGACAACCTTGTCGTCTGTCATGCTTGATTTTCCAGTTTTGTATAAATCAATCATAAAGGGCAGCACTTCACGCCAGTCATCATGTGGATAATCCATTGCGTAGTTATAGTTCGACTCGCCAATCTCGAATGCCGCCATCGATTTCCCGATTACCGGACCGATATGGTGGCATTCGCCATAGTCATTCCAAGAAATGATTTGGACAAATTCAGGCATTGGATCAAGTGCGAATAGCTGTTGCCACCGATCAAACCAAAGACTATCGCCCTTCCAAAGCCAGTTCTTGTTATACCCCGGAAGATTGGTATAAAACCAGGGAGAGATAGCCATCATGTATGGCTTTCCATCTAGGTACTGTAGGTAGGAGGCATCGCCGTATGTGTCCATAGTCTGGTTACCCCATGACCAAGCAGACCAACTAAACAAGCCATCGGCCACGCCATTTGCTAACGCGACGGCTAGCTTAGCCCCGACAGAAGACCAGTCTGGCATTAAGAAACAGTTTGTCTTCGCTTTGACTGTCACCCGATCTTTCGCACTGTCGGGGCCTTAAAATGTAGACACAAAGGGCTTTCCGTTATGCTGAAAGTATGCGCCGCTGGCGCCATACGTCTGAATCATGTCGATCACAACATCCTAGTCCCAAGGCCCGTTGCCGGCATAGTCAAACGAGAAGAAGAGCTTAAACCCTACTGTATTGGCGGCGGTGAATGCCATCTTCACAGAAGCTTCGTTGGTGCCATCTTTCCATGCCATATTGAGGGCAAATGCATCGATGTGGGCATCCTTGGTCATGGTCATATCCGAGTTCCAGTTTGAAAGTGTGTAATTCTCTGAGTTAGTGACCTAGAATAGCATTAGTACCTCCGTTGCTGAGATGATGACGAATGAGGAAATAGTTACCATAAAATGGGCAAACACAGCTTTCGCATTCGCCTGGCGGATGATCAGGGAGGCCATCACTATGGCAAACCATGACAACAACTCGATCGTTACAAGGGATGATGAACGAGCATGGAATATTGAATGGAAGTAGAGACAGACAAATACGAGGCAGCAGTTTCTTTAACTACCTTGCAGCTGTTACGACTCATTTTAGTGAGTGGGGTCCTGAGCTCGAAAACTTGACCATAAACAGCTACATCCCCCTTGAAAAATTAATATACGAAGGAGCACGAAAGGAAATTAGACTTTCGATATCTAGCACTAGAAGTAGTACGTGAATGGATCTTAGATCTAGAACAGGGACGCTAGAAAGACCCGCCTGCGCCCACTACCTATATTTTGAGCGCTTTTGATGAGTTATTAATCCTTTCGCACCTGCAATATCACTACAGCTGCCCCGTTTGGCTTTTAATGTATCCTGCACCATATAGATTCCTATAGCAGGTACACACTGGGTCTCTGTTGGAAAATATTTTTTATAAATGTAATGAGCCATGAACCCCAAGAGCCAGGTGCGTACAGCATACAGGTGACCGAATTCTTTTATTATATGGACTATAACCAAGGTGAGACATCTTAACGCCTTAAGTAATGTCGGGCCTTGGATGCGCCATCAGAGCATTCGCTTGAACTAGACTAAGGTATAGTTCAGCGGGGCGGAGGTCGTGGTTTGAGTCTTGACCCAATTAAGAGGTCCCGTCAATCTGATGGAAATTTCTTCCTTCTCAATGCATTTTAGCTTATGCCCTACAGGTTGTATGGATAAAAGATAGCTCATACGCCGACAATGGCGATAAAATAATATATTGGCAATCAATTAGCGCGCAGACCAAATAGTACTAAGGCCTTGGCCAAAGGCGTGTAATTTCCGGTAACTACCGCTAATGTGGTTTTGTAGATTCAAAGCTAAGACGCTAAACCAGAAACCGGGGCTTGGCATTTACGCGATCCCAAGTTCGTCCACGCCGGTGAAATTTCCAGACTGATTGTTCAATTCGGGGAAAGTGAATGCAACGTTGGGGCCGAATGGTCTGAACTGTTCTCATTTCCTATGATACCCGTAGAATGTTCGTGACAAGGCTGTACAGTGCCCTGTGCCAAGCAACCCGGTCGTGGTGGACAAGTTTTTAGGACGCCTTAGGCGGGCAGGCCTACGGGAAGCTATAGCTGCCATAGGTGAGTTAATTATGATTGGTTGATATTTTTTTGGATTTGGATTATATAGTTGCCATTTTCATTTGATCTTTATAAACGTAGTGCTCTAGTTCTAGTAATTATGTACATTGATATTGGTGTAAGTTTTTCATCTATGTTGTGTGACGAATCATCGTGTACCTGAGCGTAAGCTCATGTATAAGGCGAGGCGTGCCGGGCCTGCCCGCCCGCGTGTTGGCCGAGCAGTCCCACGGGTCCACAGTTGCTTAGCACCCGGGCATCCGGGGACCTCTCGGGACGATTAGTCAGTTACCAACTCAAAATATGCTGCCTTATATTTCAGATGCATAGGCCATCACAACCCCAAAATCCACTATCTTTGATAAATTATTAAAGATGTTCCATTGAAAATTTGGAGACATTGTATAAACTTGTAGAGAGCTTTCTACCTAATGGAAGTATGGTAGTGTTAAACATGTTGGGTGGCATGAAAACAACGCTTGCCAAATATATTAATAGTCTATAGTAGGACTCCTAGCATCAACAATCAAACCAAGGAAATCCAAAAAATCTTCCTGGATTCTATGAATTGTGAGTTATAATCATTCATGGGGAGACTGTAAAATTCCATCCTTCAGTGTCAGTGCCGTGCAGCGGCTGCTCCCCAGCTCCGCTCATCAGCACATCAAAGAAGGCAGTGTCAAGGCCTTGAAAAAGCCATTCTTCCATGCCAGCAGAAGCATCGAGGAGTGTTTCATCTGGCAGTACAAAAACATCGTCGGACGTAGTGTGGGAAACCTGGCCCCCGTCCCTCCGTACTGATGATGCCCCCACTGCCTGCGCGGTTGCTCGTGAGGCTGCAGCATCATCGGATGTGACCACATCTGTATAATGATCGGAGTCCTGTGGTGTTCTGACATGGATAGACCCAAAGCCACCGATTGTAACACCCTCATGAGGAACTTGCTCCTGCTCCGTGTCTGAGGGCGTAATAGAAATACCGTCTCGCGCAATTCTGATAGCGCCAACGAAGGGTACCTTGGCTACCAACACGTTTTGGTTATTTCCTTGACCGTCAGAAGCGTGCCTCTCTGCTGGCCCTGCCTCAATATCCAATAAATTCTTGAGAAGGGCAGCACATTTTGCTGTGAGGACATCCTCATGCAGCTCCGACATGGATTCCATGCACTCAAGAGCCCGCTCCACCGTCGCCCGGTCCCCAACCCGCTGATGTATCAGTAGGTTTTCCGTACCCTTGTTAGAGTGGCTCAAGATATGGGCTAGCATCAGTGTCATTCCCGCGATAAGACCCACAAAATCGCCCATACGACAGCCGGCAGTGACTGGATGGAACGTACGGATTGCAATCTGCCGAATCAGAATCTCACGGCTGGCACTGGCGCAGGCAATTCTCGAGTATACCCTTTGCGAGATATACCTTGGGTTTAGCATATATGGCAGATGGAGCTGGTTTACTAAACAGTAATAAAATATATGGTCCCAAGCCCGTCGGGTTTCCTGGAAGGCATCCGCGGAGTCTACTTCAAGACCCGTAAATTGCAATGGCCGCCAAAATGAAGGCGGCCATTGCTCAGTGACCCGCAATAGCTCTTGATCGATCTCTTGCGTCATGTCAAGTGCTTCCTCGGGTGCATGCATCTGATTTCGTTCAATAATCTTGCGTACCACACCTGGAATGAGCATAGGCAAGTTGCCGCTCTCAACACGAGTGCTTGTTGCTCGGGGTATTGTGACACTCGTACCGCTGGTGCTTGTGGGCAGATCCAGTAACAAGCATAGAAATTGCTCTGTGGAAACCACACATGCCCACATGACCGTAGGATCAAGATCGTTCTGTTGATTAACGACTTTGAAGCGATAGTGACCTGGTCGATGCAAGCCCAATAGCTGCGCTGTCATGACAGCACGGCGCATTGTGATCCAGGATCGGCGCATGTTGCCGCCATCTATGTGATAGAAGCCTTCAAGGATAAGATTCTCTAGACCTTCCAACGTTCCCAGCAAGATGTCATTCGTATTTACCAGCTTGATAGCCGAGTCCGCCAACTGCTCCATGATGACGCGATGATGCTTCGTGAGGCCAGGTATCGCCTTTGCGGGGGACAGGTGTTGCAACCCCACTGCAAAAAGCAGCATTTGCCTTGCCAACAACACTGGGTGGCTTTCTGAATACAGCATATTGGCCATTGGTATTTGTGCTTTGGCCATTTCGCTCTGCCACGAGCTGGATAGCTTGAAGCTGGATTTGTAGCAGAAGATGGACATCCTGCTGAGGCTTTCAATCAGAATTTCAATATCTCTCTGAGGAGGAAGAGAACTTCGTAGGGCTTGAATGATACTGGGATATGCGGAAGCCTCCGAAATGGAGCCATGACTGAACACCGGCGTTGGTGGCAACGGAGGTGTTGTAAGTTGGCTTGGTGATTTCTCAGTGTGTAGGCGACTCGACACATTCTTTTGATTTATTATATCGTTAGTAAATAGCTGTGTACGTGAAGGTATTGACTAACTCTGCCATGCACCGATGTCGGTGCTGGATGTATTGTGAAGGGGGTGAGTGGTAAACAGCCAATAGCATCTGGTTCAGACCGGAAACGGCTCTCGCCCACTAGCCGTGTATCGATATCAGTGTCTTGCTTGTCATCTCCTCCATCGCTCTCAGCCATTTCCGATCCGTCCAAGATTACTTGACTGATGCATTTCGTGCCCCGACGATCGCAAGTGATGCAGATGGAATCATCTGGCGATGAAAAGGTACACTTGACCTTTCTCCGCCTGCACTCCCAGCAGCTGTGTGTACCTTGGCGAACCTTTCTGCGCTTCGCTGCGGGTTCGTCCGAGGGAGCACTCATCATTCGGCGGGTAGGCTGTCGGAGGCTACGATCGCGGCAAGAGAGACTGGCTTTTCACCGAGGGCTGAAATGTGCAGATACCTTATCAAGGAGTTTAGACCGAGATAATTAATACTAGAGATGTCCGAGGCGATCTTCGTTGTGGTTGCAAATGACCAAGTCCTGGGGTAGATGTACCCCCGGGGCCGCTACGTGCCCGCTGACTAATGGACACTCGTCCGAACCCCCGGCCTTCCTTCGGACGATTCAGCCGAGATTACACATCCTCAAGAGAATGTCCAACTCGCAAGTGATGCAAATTTACTCTTCACTGCATATTGAAGATATGGCTTCTCTTGAAGGCTCTAGGTTCTCCATCCTTGAGATTAATACGAAGGATGTATACTACTGATCAGATACGTCTCCTTGCGAGAATCACATAAGAAGATTGAAATTGGCCGAGCTTGATTCGGCCGAATTAATGACATACATTGTATAGCTCTGAGATAACTATGGCATGGCAGGTCTGTCTGGATCTGTTCGTTATGGCTAGATTTCGTCCGAGGCCGACATACATAAACAAGCTATTTATTTCGTAACGTGGAAAGGGGCAATTTCTAATCCTGTCATATCACCGTTTTGCAAACTTAGTCAACAATGGAGAAGCAAACCACCAACTTGGAGAAGCAGGTGCTGGCTGAAGACCCTCCGCGGCATTCATCTACCCTCGTGGCAAGCCCAGAACAAGGCGGCATGGAAGTTGCCAATGACAACGCAAAAGCTAGTGTCACCGATGAATATCCGCATGGTGCCCGCCTGGCTGCTGTTGTGCTTTCACTCATGCTGGGCATGTTTTTGATAGCACTCGACAACGTCAGTCCCCCCGTTTCGTGATGCGTCACACAGCTAACTAAGGGTATTTCTAGACCATCCTCGGCACGGCTATTCCCAAAATAACGGATGAATTCCATGACCTGAACAAAGTGTCGTGGTACGGTTCGGCTTATTTGATGACATTTGGCTGTGGTTAGTTATCTGGACACATTAGCTTCTAGATGGCATGCTGACCTATCACGCAGAGCGGCTCCATTCTTCCCTTTTACGAATGCTTGGACACTTGGTCCTCAATCCACCTCATTCCAAAACGACTAATTATCACAGGCTTCCAATCAACCTGGGGAAAGTTTTACAAGTACTTCCCGATCAAGATTTGGTTTCTCGTTGCCGTATTTATTTTTGAAGTGGGCAGCCTCATCTGCGCCGTCGCTAAAAACCCTACAACTCTGATAGTCGGCAGGGCTATCGCTGGCTTCGGCGGAGCCGGAGTTGGTGTGGGAATTTTCACGATTATCGGGTTCGCTGCGCCTCCTGAGAATCGTCCACAACTTTTGGGCTTTACTGGAGCAACCTATGGCATCGCCGCTGTCTTGGGACCACTGATCGGCGGAGCTTTCACTGACAAAGTGTCGTGGCGTTGGGTAAGATGGGAGCCATTGAAAGATTAGAGTTATCACTGATCACTGAATAGTGCTTCTACATCAATCTGCCCATCGGGGGATTAGCTGCCGGGTTGATCTTCTTGCTCTTCAAGACCCCTGGTAGCGCAGCCCCGGCAAAGGCTACACCGAAAGAGAAGTTCTTGCAAATGGACCTCGTCGGCGCCACCCTTATGATGGGATTGATCGTTTCATTTATCCTGGCGCTACAATATGGCGGCCAAACACATTCCTGGAAGAGCAGCGAGGTTATAGGACTGCTCGTCGGCTTTTGTGTGTTTATTCTAGCCTTTGTGGCTTGGGAAACCTACCAGAAGGAGCGTGCAATGATTGTTCCACGGCTGGTAAGTAATCATACAAGTCCCACCCTGCTCTGACATGGACTAAAATGGCCGTAGTTCATGAAAAGCTACATTTCCGTGGGCTCCATCTTCATGTTCTTCTTTGGCGGCGCCTACTTCATCGTCCTTTACTATCTGCCGATCTATTTCCAGAGCGTCTATAACAGCAGTCCAATTGGATCTGGTGTGAAAATGCTCGCCCTCATCATTCCACTAACCATCGCTGCCATCCTACAGGGATTTGCGCTATCCAAAATCCGCATCGTACCTCTTTTCTGGGTTATAGGTGGCGGTTTGGCAACCGTCGGCTCTGGCCTATTCTATACCTTTAATACTGAAACATCTATTGGCAAGTGGATTGGGTATCAGATTATTGTTGGCCTCAGCACGGGTTGGACATTCCAGATTGCCATGTCAAACGCGCAAGTCCATGCTTCACCAGAGGACATGTCGCAGGCTACAGCTATCCTTAATTGTGAGTCCTTAACTTACTGTACCTTATACAAGTTGTCCCCTAACAGTGTTACCAGTCTTCATGACCGTTGGTGGAGCTTTCTTTCTCGCAGCAGCACAATGCGCCTTCAACAATCAGCTGATTAAAACAATTGCCGTAAAACTCCCCGAAATCGACCCCAGGGTAGTTATTACGACCGGTGTGACACAAATCCGGGAAGCTTTTAACGGGACGCAAGTTTCCATCATCGTGGATGCCTACATGGTTGGTCTGAAAGCTGTCTTTGTGATTACAATTGCCGGCTTTGGTCTCGCCACCGTGGTTGGATTCTTTGGTAGCTGGAAGAAGATCCACAGTGATGAGCTGAAGAAGGCGACTGGTGGCGCTGCATGACCGCCTCCTGGTCATTGGCGTGTCTGACTATGAGCCAACATCTCGGTTGTGTATTTGGAACGATAGGCGATCAACTTAGGTGACGGGGGGGGGGGGGGGTNGGGGGTTGCATTTTGCAACTCATGTTGTTGGTACTTGAGATCTACAGTTGCCTGGCGCTCGGTGTATAGACTTCTGACTGGGTGGGTGTATCAGGTGTATCATATATAGAGAAAGCGTCTACCTAGAAGTACTTATATACTTGACTACTATTTCCTATTTACGATTTCTACGTTATCAAAGTAGACTTTAGCTAAGTTAGCCCTAGCATATAACCGAATTCTTCCCCGTCCAGTTTCCCAGGCCCTATTTATGTCTTTTTTTTGTCATGCTACGGAGACTATAGCGGATTATACTAACCTACGAGGCTTACTGGGATATGCTTCATTTTTAAACCACCAACTTGGCTATTTCTAAGTACACAATTTATATAGTTTCTCTTATTCATTTAGCTGTAAAAGCTCACTTGAGGATCTCGCGACGGCTGTGGAAGCCAGCTGTGATGTTCCATTCTACGTGAATAACGGCACCATGACTTTTACCGAGTACATGGGCTTTTTCCAGGACAAGTATGAGCTTATCTGTATGGCTGATGAAGAGAGGGATAATTTCTGCTTGGATGTTGAGAGCTCTTGGAACATCACAAACATGGTTCTGCTGGATGAAGCAACCTGGCCAACTTATACCAACAAATGTTATTACGACGTCTCGTATGGTGACTGGGGATGGTTCTATTTTGAGAATGGAACTTGCTTGGAACCCTTCGACGATTATTTACAAGATGCAACCGATGCAAATTGTTTTAACCAGCTGGCAGCATGGGACTACTACGTAGATCGACTCCCAACCATTCACGAAGGCAACTATGGGTGGACTGAGCCCCTGGAGTGAGACGAGTACCCATTGGAAATGCAATGTTCATCTTGCTTTTTGCAAAAGTTCAATCATGGATTTGAGAGCTCATGGGGTGAAATTTGGGAGTACGTAAAAACTCACCTGTTTGCACGTGAATGGATACAGGCTAACGACCTTCCAGTGGAATTACCGAGCAGGTTTGGATCAATATGCGGCTGAACATCAATATCATTCCTGCGAACAACTACACAGCATCTGAAAACATCAACATCACGATTGCCTCCCCCGGCCCTATCACTACGATATGTCCTCAGGCTATCACGATCTCACAAAATACGACATTGACTTGTCAACAGATGGCAATTGCGTACGAGATCCCTACTGCCGGAATTCGGAATCTCAAAATTATTTCGATTGCAATTGGGTGATTGACCAAGATGTCTGCGCGCCGATGTCTTGTCCGACTGCGGTTGTCTCTACCTCCAGCTCGTCTATCAATGTTGATGAATGTATCCGCAACCAGGACAACTTCACCATGACTCAATTTCTAACCTGGAATCCGTATATTGGTTCAAGACAAATTTCGAACGGTGATGCTACATGCGTGAGTCCTCCAGGAGATCTTTACAGCCCACCATCTGCCACGGTCTCGGCCAATTCTACCTACACGACCAAAGCGTACAGTCTTCCCTTCCCCTCCTAGGTTATTTGGTTTATCTTGAACTAACTCAAAATCGATCTCTAGTATTCCAGCTTCTCCAACCCCATCAGGCACTGCAACCAACTGTAGCGACTACTATCTTGTTCAAGATGGGGATGAATGCGGCGTCATCTGTGAAAGTAATAGTCTGGAATTGGCCGAATCTATTGCTATGAACCCCTCCGTCAATGCAAACTGCACAAATCTTGTAGTTGCTTTGGATTACTGGTCCATCTCCCCTTGCTCATTCAGGGTGATTATAAGCTAACAGAAAGATAGTGTTGCTGCCGTCAACGGCACAAACCCCACAACCTCCAATACCACAGCAACCTTCGTCAGTGCACCCACCACTACTGTCACAGGGACGACCTCTGAGTGCTGCGAATGGCACACCGTTTTCTCCGGTGACACCTGTCAGTTGATTGAAGCAGAGTATGGAATCACTCTTGAAAAGTTCATCGCGTTGAACACGTATGTCAATAGCACATGTGGTAACATTTGGCCTGATTACGCCTACTGTGTGTCGGGCATTGCTACTGCCAACAGCAGCACTAGCACAACAGCAATTACGGCTACATCCACTAGTCCTCCTATCCCGGTGACAACTTCTGGCACACTTACCACAGCTACCACCTCTGGGACAATCACAACCCCTGCTCCAGCTCAGACTGGCATGGTTAGCGGGTGTACGACCTTCTACGAGGCCATTAGCGGCGATGGCCTGTTACGCGATCGCCACATCGTACGGCATCACGCTTGATGAGTTCTACGAATGGAATGCAGCGGTCGGGGATGACTGCAGCGGATTATGGCCAGACTATAATTACTGTGGTGGGATATAGACAACCATACATTTAGCAGTCAAATCGATTCGGAGATTTCCTATCTCTGTTGTAACAAAATCTCAAGTTCTGCAATTAAGTTGTCCTCAATAGTTATCACCAGGTATGATGCACTGGCGTAGCATCTCTTTGTCTCTCTTCCTCTCTATCAAGGCCCTCATCCCCGATGGCTTTACAAATCTCTTCTCCTTCTCGCCGCCAATCCTCCTCCCTGAACTCCGCGCCCCAACCGAAATTCTCTGTCAGAATTCGCTTCACTTCAGTCTGCTCCCACGAGCCAGGCAGGTGAAGATAACCGATGTCTCCACCAGGGAAGTATACCATCTCTAAAGTTTGGATATCATCGATGACTTTCTGTAGGTAGGCGGGGGCATTGTGTGCCTCGGTTTCTTCTCGAAAGTCATCTTCTGGTGGTTCAGATTCATCAATGAGCCGAATGATATCTAGTTTATAGTTAGCACTTTCTTTTAAATCAGTCATTTAGTATATGGCGTAGAGGTATACATACTTGACTTGGTATCCAGAATAACTGAACTCCCATCATCCAACCAACAAGTCAGCGCAACCTCCCACGGTCGCAAAAAGTCCAGCCTTAATCCGTCGTCATCGGCGACGCCTGTTAATTCAGGATCGCGGCCATTTCGGATCTCTTCGTCAAGCAAGTATTCGAAAGCCCGCGATTGCCACATAATAGGCTTATGGTAACCGTCTACCACATAGGGAATCTTTTTCATGAGAGAGATTACCAGCGGGGCGATGTGGAGCGAATGGCATAGCTCTTCATTGATACTGTGACCACCTTCTGGAGGGAAGGTAACTTGATCAGAGGAGAAATAGCTCAGCTTGACAAGTAGGTTGTAAATAGTGGTGATTTGGGTGACTATTGTTTCCTCATCGTAGGATGAAGACTGGGATGGAGAAGACATGGTTCCAGTATTTTGGACCCAGATGTAGACCAGACTGAGTAAAAGAGGGAAGAAGATCCAGGTATATTGTGGCATTGAAAACCCTACTCTGGGCAGTTAAAATGGAATTTTTGGAGGTTTATCTTCTTTTTTGTAGGGGAAAACCAGGAAGTAGATGCTGCCGACAGAAATCAACCACCGATGGATGGATCATGGATAGAAGTACTCTAGTGGCCCCACTTTGTCTATCCACAGACTTCCGCTGTGTTAATATCTATAATGGTAGATGATGGTATATAATGTGCTATATTATAGAAGTTAAATCTTGTGTCCCAAAGTTCTGTTAGTGTACTGGATTTAGGTTATAGCCCGGGAAATTGCATATGAAGTTCATGCTTGAAAATTGGTATCCAGACCAACCATCATTTTCATAGTCCAAAAATAGGATTATTCAATTATCTGGGGTATATCGTACATTTTAATTTTCAATAATGAGGTGCCTATTTCGGTTGCTGCATCTCATATTCAACACAAACCTCATCCGTACGCCGAATTTGGTATTGCTCTAGGTCATTCAGGATGGTTTCCTGGCTCTCTTTTTTGCGCAATGGAGTTGTGCTCTCTTTTTTTGACACGTGCGCCCGGGAAGCGGATTGATTGTCGTATACCTTGTGCTGTGCATAAGATGATGGCTTGGAGTGACCCTTAGATGTCGAGACGAGTTTCAGTCTTCTCAAAATAATTTCAAGAATCGGTTGTAATGTTGGTATACAGGCGGCAATGACAACGACGTTGGCTTCAACACTAGAGTTCTGTTAATACAACAGCAAGATTTTCCGAAAGACAGAATGTCTTACTTTGTCCACACCACAAGAGGTACAGTACTGACTAGTTTAGGGCGCGGGCCCCGGGGGTTAGCATTCAGAAGCAGGTAATGATCAAACGCAGAATGAAGAACTAACAAGTTGGATCTGATTGGTCAGCCAAACCCTTGATCTGAGCACATTTGACCATTGCAGTTGCAGCCGCACTAAGATAAACCGTGTTTATTAGCTTTGAAACACTTTAAGGGATCCATTGCCAGAATTCCATACATTGCACCCAGACCAAGCGCAGCCGTCAATGCAATCTTTTTGCACAATGACATTTGAAGTTTGAACAGAACGATTCCGGGGTAAATTGCGAGGAAAAGGTCAACAAATGCAGAGAAAGCTGTTCATGCATAGCGTTTATAAGCAACTGTCATGAGAATCACGAGATCCATAGAATACCACTCACCTCCATTGAATGTAGCATAATTTATAAGAATCCAAATATCCCTACACGTTGCCTCCCCGTTCAATATCATTGAGCTCTTCCAAAGTGCCTGTGGTGGATTGCACATGGTAACATATATCAGGATGTTGACAAGGGCAATGATAGCAACCAGGCTGACAAGACCCCACACTATAAGGCGTTGGACGAGGTTCGGGTTCAGAATTCGGTGGAGCAATGCGGCAACCGCGAGCTTCGGTATTGCGAAGGATATAATTCCGAAAATGAACGAGATCATGTTCCACATGAGGGCGAGCTCAGCGGACCTAGATTCAAGGTTGGTCTTATGTTGACCATATCCATAAGTCACTGAGACTGTCGCTGTCGCAACAAAAATTAGACCGAAAATCTGAAGCAGACGCAGATGTCAGAAATGTTCCTCCATGGGTGTAAAATATGCGAAACAGGTAGAATAATCTCACCATAGATGCTCCGATCAACCAGTCATCGAACCCGAAATTGCGTAACATCCGCTGTCGGACACATAAACGAGCAATAACAAGCAACATGGCAAGAGTTGTCATTGACCACATTACCGCCATCATTTCTGGGCCTTTGTTGCCCGTTTGGGGGGCATCAGTGATCGAGCCGGCCATACCGGGCAGTGGTCTACCTCAAGATCCAAGTCACCATTGACAACCGCAGTACCTAAAACTTTTATAATATACAAAGGAGCCGAGGAGCTTTCGGGTGCAAAAAAAAAGATTAAAAACCAAGGCATTGTCCGGTACGGAGTACAGGGATCATGTCGACGCTATATTGTATGTTAGAACAGATCCACTTTTCTTTATAAGGCGTAACAATATAAATATTTGATTGGCCTTCTCTAGCGCAAATTACGGGGCAGAATGCATTAGTGACAAGCATCACAATCCTGCGAGGCTTCCATCCACCTCCGATGTAACCGCGTGTGGTTTTAGCGTGCTGATCCCAGTATATTATATAGGTTTTCGTCCCATATCGAAGACCCGCATGCACTAATTGTTAGACATGGTCTGATTACCCCCGATCATCGACCAATAAGTAGATTGGCTCCATTTCTTCGCCCCCCCCCCCCCCCCCCCCCCCCCCCCCCCCCCCCNNNGGAATGAATGAATAATACAATAAACACATAACGGAATAACGGAATAACGGAATGACCCTCTTATAGCTTTAGTTTACGGTAGTTTGTTTCAGTATCATCTAGGCATGAGAAACTATCAGGATTTTTGTGTTCCATAGTGGAACCCATACTCCGTACGGAGTACACAATTACACTCGCTTTAAGTCGGATCGTAGTCCCCCTTATATGGCCGGATGTTGGAGATAGTCCATGTTTCAGTTCTAATTTTGCCATTTTCTCTCCTTGAAAGAGGTCCCAAGTTCATAAACAACCTTCAACATGGCAGTCACCGGTGTATCAAACGAATCTAGAACTAATGGCCATGGGGTCGCCATCATTGATCCTCAAGTTGCCACTACGCCCAGTGCCCCTGAAAAGCTTGCCCATTTGCAAAAGGAAATTGATTCTCACTCCCAGGCTTACAGCAATGGTGATGCTGATGCGCGTTTAAAGCTTCTGGAGACAGCCCGGTCTCTCGTGCAGGCAATGGAAACACCCCAGGAGACCATGCTGCGATACTGTTGGGCCCAGGTGCGTCAGAGCAAAGAAGATGTTAGTTCAGGAGTCGAGAATACTCATTTGTTCGTTTTTTATCATAGCCCACAGCGTTCGCCGGCATTGAAACCTGTATCGATTTGGGAATATTCTTCATATTAGCGCAGACGGACAAGCCTAAAACGGTGGCAGAGCTCGCAGCAACAACAGGCGCAGAACCTGAACTTCTTGGTCAGTGATAATTTTCAAATCAGACAATTATGAGATGCTCATCGTTGCGAAGGTCGTATCATGAAGCATCTCGCCACAATGGGGGTTTTTGTTGAGACTGGCATGGATGAGTATGGCCGTAATGGGCTGACTACCACACTGGCCATTAAACGGTACAATGATGCTTGGCCGTGCATGTAAGTAGTTACACGTGTGGATTGTCTCCTCTCCAGATTGGTCTACTGACTTAAGTTTTCGCCTGCAGTACTGGATGCACCCTCCCAGCAATCAACGCGCTGCCCGCCTGGCTCAAGAAAAACGATTATCGAAGTCCCACCAAAGGAACAGACTGTCCTTTTACTCTAGGATTCAAGACCGACTATCCTTTCTTCGAATTTCTTAACGGCAAGAACCCCGACTATCCTGAACTCGGCGCTCAATTCAACAATCTCATGTCGGCCTACCACCAAGGTAGGCCCAGCTGGATGGATGGAAATTTCTACCCGGTACAAACTCTCATCGAGGGAGCAAAGACCGGCAAAGAAGACGTTTTCCTCGTGGATGTTGGTGGAAACAAAGGGCACGACCTGGAGGAGTTCATATCGAAGTGGCCAAACACACCCGGCAAATTGATCCTGCAAGATCAGCCACACGTTTTGAAAGATATCAAGTCGTTGAACCCAGGAATTAAGCCCATGGTTCACGATTTCTACCAGGAGCAGCCCATCAAGGGTGAGTGGCATCATAACACACATCGAATATCAAGTAGTAACTGACATGTGTCTAGGTGCGCGAGTATATTTCTTGCACTCCGTCCTGCACGACTGGAATGACGAGACATGCCAGAAAATTCTGTCGCAATTGGTCGCTGCGATGACACCCGGCTACAGCAAGTTGTTGATCAACGAGAACGTCATTCCCAATACCGGGGCCCACTGGCAGGCTACTTCCCTGGACCTCATAATGATGGTGGATCTTGGTGCCAAGGAGCGAACTGAACAACAATGGCATCGAGTTATTGAACCAGTTGGCCTCAAAATTACTAAAATATGGACCCCGCTGGATAGTGCCGAGAGCTTGATAGAATGCGAGTTAGCTTGAATGGGGTTCACAGAAAGAAGAGAAGGATTAACAAATTGCAAATTTTTACGTATTAAGCAACTACTGGTTTCGCCAAATCTGACCTGATTCACCGATCATAAAAATAACGTCCTCTCCATACATAAGAAGTGCCCAGGATCATGCAATTCTTTTGTTCGGCTAGAACATCAGCTAGAACCTCGGCAACTTGCCGAGGTACCCACTAAGCGGGCTGGGCACGCCGAAAGTTCGGCCCGTTTCATCGGACCCCGGACCCCCTGTTTGTTTCGACCTCAGACCAAACGAACTTGTAACATTCTGTCTGGGAAAAGCGGGCTTGGGGACATTCTCCTATGGAAATTATTTCTTTCGCAAGCTTTGGCTTGGTGGTGCTTGACGAGATTCATATTCCCAACCGGAAACCTTTGACCAATGTACTAGGAGGGTCCGGAGCTTATGGTTCGTTCTGCCTGCACACTATATCGAGTAAGAACAATCAAATGTCTAATAAAATATATTTTTTCCAGCGACTCTTGGTGCTCGGTTGTTTCTACCCTCCCCACTCAGCCGCTCCTTGGCTTGGCCGATCCATGTTGGAAATGACTTCCCAGACGCTATTGCAGAGTACCTGCATAGCTGGGACACAGACCTGGTTATAGAAAAAGAATCAGACAGGCCTTCAACTCGAGGCTTATTAGAGTATCAAGATACTACATTTGGGCGTACGAAATCCCTTTCCATTTGCTCTTCCTCTTCGCCCGTACTATCCCGTTTGTTTCCACTTTTCGATGGATCAAAACTCTTGGTTCATGCTCACCAAACCAGCGCATGAAACATATAGGAATGAGCTAACTTTTCTTCCAGCTAAGAGTTTCAAATACACAACGCCGGTTCTTACAGTTCAAGAAAGCAAGTTGCAAGGCACCGCCTTGCTAACTTCCAAGGTGTATCATTATCTTGCTAGTCCCCAAGATATGAAAAGACACGCTCTACATATTCTCGCTCTTCGAGAGCAGGATGGTATACAAGATCGTCCTTTGATTATCTGGGAGCCGGCCCCTCTTTCATGCAAACCGGAGAACCTCGAAGCCTGTCTCGAGACCGCAGCTTTAGTCGACGTGTTCTCTCCAAATCACTTGGAGCTGAAGGCATTTTTTGAAAAATCCCCGGCTTCATCCGATAAGTCTGAGATCGAAAGATTGGGCTCAAATTTTCTAGCTAACGGAGTCGGCCTAAAAGGAAAAGGCGCGGTGGTCATTCGAGCTGGTGAAAATGGCTGCCTCATCCAATCGCGTAGCATCACTTCTCAGTGGCTACCTCCGTTTTACACAGCAGGCATGAGTGAAGAGCAGGCTGCTAAAGTGATTGATCCCACTGGAGCTGGAAACTCATTTCTGGGAGGCTTCGCCATTGGATACCTTCAAAGCAGTGGTAATATCCTTGAAGCGGCTTGTTATGGATCTGTCGCAGCTTCATTTACATTAGAGCAGGTGGGAATGCCGGAGAGGAGCAACGAAGGAGATGAGGAATTATGGAATGGGGCCAGTGTTATTCGAAGATTGCATCAATATAGGGCTAGGCAACAGTTATTACAATAGATGACAATGATTGTGGAAGGGCCAATCATGTCCAAGGTTTCTCTTTAAATTCTATTACCAGTGTTTTCTACTACCTACAAAAGCCGAGGAAGGAGATCCGCTCCGGGAAGTATCCAAGTGCAAGTATGCCACCGTTGGTGGCCCAAAAGTGAGGCCGAAACTCAGGAGGAAGCCACAGTACCTTTTCGCCGTTCAGTGTTACCCACTGCTTCTGCAATATATCAATCTTCAGATTCAAGTGAGGCGAATGAGAGGTATGGATGCCACATGTCGGAATATCAAAGGACTCCGGGTCTGTGCTCGAGTACGGTTTGTCCTGAGGAAGTTCGACTTCCGTATCCATTCGTTCCATGCTCTCATTTTCTTGTATGGCGCCAGTTGCGGGGTCCCGAAGTTGGATTATCTTATCAGATGAATCGAACACCAGTAGCTGGTCATCGGGCGAAAACCGCACCGATAATATTGAACGCGAACGACCCTCGATAATCTGTTGTAAGATTCCCGTCGTGGTGTCCCAGACCCGGACAATGTCTTTATCGTGTCTATAGGCACTATTTGACCCAGCCTGATCTGAAGTACCGCTAAAAGCTACATCTATATCGACAATTTCAAGTTGTAAGGGTCTCGGCGTGTCGTCAATAGAACGCCATGGCAGCAGTGAATGATCTCTAAACGACGACAGCCACGGGAAATCTACAGGAGCCAACCATGGTAAATTGTTAGGACTCGTCTCCACCCCAAACAAATCTCTGGGCGTGTCTGTTGACTCAGAGGAAAGAGAGGCTAGTAGCCTACCGTTTGACGAGAAGACCACTAACGAATTTGGATCAAAATAGCTTTCGAAAGTCTGCTTTAAGGCACCGGTCGTGGTGTCCCTGAGTTGGAGGTTTCGATCTTCAGAACTAGACGCTAGGAGCCGGTCATTAGGCGAGGAAGCTATGAAGGAAGCTCGGCGTAGATGGCCCTTAAGAGCGTGCTGTAAGGTGCCCGTTGTAGTATCCCAGAGACAGACTATGTTATTTTCGGAGGTTGAGGCTAATAGCCGACCGTCAGGTGAGAACGTTATAGTTGAATACAGGCTTGGAAAGTGCTCTGGGCTGTGCAACCCCGTTAAAATATCCATACATCGGGCAAAACCACCAAGGATTTCCGCTCGCCGCTTGTCGTCGGAAAAAGGCGTCACCGGCTGACCTGACTGAACAAGGTCTGAAAACCTTGTAAAACTCTGCTCTAGTCCGATTGTGGCATCCCAAAGCCGAACTATCTTATCAGAGGAACCGAACGCGAGTGTCCGACCATCGGGGGAAAAGGCCACTGACGAAACTGGGCCTGAATGGCGTTGAATAGTATGTTGGAAGACGCTAGTCGCGGTATCCCAGATTCGCACATTTTGGTCATGGGAACCAGACGCCAGTAGCCGGCCGCCGGGCGAGAAAGTCACCGATAAAACTTGACCTAAGTCATCCTTTGAAGTACCCTGTCCCGTTGTGGTGTCCCAAAGCCGCACTGTCCTATCATCAGAGCCAGAAGCTAGTAGTCGGCCATTAGGCGAGAAAGCCACCGAGCGAACCCAGTCTGTATGACCCTTAAGGATATGTTGAATAGTGCCTAGTGTAGTATCCCAAAGTGGCACGCTTTCATCATCTGAGCCAGATGCTAGTAACCGACCGTTAGGTGAGAAACCTACCGACCGAACTGAATCCGAATGGCCCTTAAAGGTCTGTTGTAGGACACCAGTCATGGTGTCCCAAAGCCGCACGATTGGATCATAGGAACCAGATGCTATTAGACGGCTATCAGGCGAGAAAGCTACCGAGAAGACCTGGTCTAGGTTGTGGTTAAAAGTCTGCTGTAATACACCCGTCGTTACGTCCCAGAGCCGAAGTGTGCCATCATCAGACCCAGAAGCCAGTAGTCGACCGTTGGGCGAGAAAGATACTGATAAAACTGCGTATGAATGACCTGTGCAAGTTTGCTGTAAGGTGCCCGTCGTGACGTCCCAGACTCGGACTATCGTATCAGAGCCGGATACTAGCAGCCGACCGTCAGGGGAGAATGCCACCGACCGAACCTCATCTGAATGACCCTCAAACGCTTGCAATTCTGCGCTCCACCTTTCGTTGACATGTGGTAACTGGGATATCCAAGTAGGAATCTCTGTTTCGAACTCTCTGCGAATTATCGACATTCGTGGCGCGAATATCAGCGCTGAGCAATAAAGCCGGAGAGGCATTTCATCAACAATTCGACGATTTTTGAGAATAAAGCGCTTTGCGTCGTGTATAAAGTCTGAAATCGCGTGTTTTTGGTAGTCCTATATCATTAGCACGAATCACATACCAGAATCGAAAAAAACATACTGATATAACATAGAGGAGGTCCAGCAATACCATCACTTCCGACATGAACCCCAGAAGACTCATTGCTTCTACCCAGTGCAGAAACTTCTCCCGTAGGAAGAATAACACATTTTCTATCCCGGAGGATAAGATCTCGCCGTGTTTGACATGGTGGGCCCAGTACCGACAGGAGTATTCGAGCTCTGGTGGGAAACACTGGCGAAGAGACTGCGGATCGATGTCTGTCCTATTCGTGCAAGGGGTTTCCAGATTGCAGATATTTTTCTTGAGATGAGTTCGCATAATTTTGAGACAGTTGAGAGCAATTTCCTTATGCTTTTTGCGCTCGTTAACTCGAAATTTACCATTTGACTGGACTAAAAAGTCTCGAAACGAGGCGTGTAAGATTTTAACCGGCAGATCCGGGTTTCTGGGTAAGCTAAGAACGGATCGAAAAGAATCTAATAGATTCGTAATCACTCTAGCTTTAATATCCAGAAACCCGGAGAGCCCGTTCACGGAAAGGGGGACAGCAAGAAGTATTATGAGGCCGACAATTTGTTGAAAACTTTGCAGCAATTGCTCCGTATAATCGTCATCTCGGCCATTCAAAAATTGTGTAAGAACTGGTAGATATGTTTTGTCCATTGTTGTTGCATAGTTGGCTTGGTCCCTGAGGAGATCGGTGAGGGATTCCACAGGGTCCAGCTTCACTTCCACTAAACGGCACACAGTAGCTGCTGAAATGAACAACGGGACTGACATCGCCACAAGGGATTGAATCTCCTCGTCTCTAGGCCAGTCTACAGGGACATCTTTCGTGTCCCTAATCCTATTCAGCCGGTCTTTCAGGAACAATGTTATGTCATGTGCTGTCACAGCCTCGGGGATCTCATGGAGAGCGAGATCCCGATATTCATGTTTTGCAATTTTCAAAAAGCCTAGGCGAATCGGTAATTCAGGTCGGCTTGTTAAGAAGATTCGAAACTGGACAGCCTTGATCTTTTGTACTTGAGGTAGTAATTGTACTATGACTCGAATATCATTGTCGGTTTCACATTCGTCTAAAGCATCGATCACAATGGCCACCACCGGAATTGGAAGGGTGAGGTTTTGCAAGCTCTGGAACGGCTGAATGATTAGTTTATCAAACTGCTCACTCAATGACTTTGTGGCAAGATCAGGGTCACTATGAATTGCCTTGCGAATACTAGGTGTCAGATCAGGAATTCCAGCCGCTAGTTGCCGGGTAATTGTTGAGAAAAACTTCTTAGCATTCCCTCTATCTCCCTCGCCTCTTTTGAAGAAGAAGCAAGCAATGACTAGTTGCTTTTGCCGAAAGGACTTTGCGACTGTGCGGGAGATTGTCGACTTCCCCGTTCCAGCCATGCCATTCAACCAAAATATACACTTTCCGTGCGGTGACCGAACCCATTGTTGTATGGTTTCGAGAAGCTCGATTCTTGTGCCCGGAAGACAATCATCTTCATGTTGATCCCCATATGAGTTGAATTCGGCTCCGTGGGCAATATATAACTTGTCTAGGGGGTCTATATTTGGTCAATGAAGTCTGCTCAGCTTCAGAGCCTCTCTCTCCTCATGAAGACTAAGATGGCTCACCTGTAGAAAGATTGAGTGAAGCATTTATCGTGCCATGATTAATCCCTGTCTGGACACCCGAATTCAAACTGCCAAATGACACTGCATTGTCCATGGTTATAGCCACAGAGGTGCAATAAAGGCGGATACCACCAAAGAAACATGCAGTGCCTGTCGAGATTCCCGCGGGACTTGTTGCCTAAGCGCCTAAGTGAGATCCAGTCTCATCACGTGGTATTATATTCGGATGTACCAAGCAACAGTTTGGCTCGGATCCGGTGAAAACCCCGGCGGTTCTGCAGAAACTAACATCTATACATTGACAAGGGTTTCCACTGGAAATGGACCAGGTAATGCACTCTTGTCAAATAAGAAATATGCCCTCCTTGCCAAGTACTTTATGCAAAGGCTCTATACTTGATACCAGTCATGATGCAACGAATCTATTCGATTTCCCCTCTTTCTTTTATTTGTCCAAGGGACAAGAGCGTGAAGCATATCAGTACAGTAAGTTACACATTGACAGAGAGGAAGTATCGGGAAGAACACAGAGGAGCGCAGACCGGGGGAATGGATATGCTGAAAGATCACGGAGGGGAAAATGCATCGATGGCAAAACGGGAGATGGAGAGATGGCGGAAAGGTCTATATAATACACAACTCCAATCCCAGTCCCTGATGTGTGCATTACAGAAAATAAATCGAGCAGTAGGCTTGTCTCTAGGGGAGGGTGGTGTCAAACAGGAAGCAGGGATGCGAGAAGACAGTTCTAGGCCTTGTTGGCCGGGTTCTTCTCCTCCGCGTCATGCGCAGCCTTGGGGATGAGAGAGTCGCCCTCGATGTTCTCGCCTGCAGCAGCGGTCTCGGCCTTTACCTGGGTGTGGACTTCCTTGGCGCGGGTCTGCTTCTCAGTGGGATGCGACGATGCATCCAGCTCGGCGGCAGTGGGGGAAACTTCGGGAGTAGCGGGAGCTTCGGAGGGGGCAGGAGCATCGGACTGGGGTTGAGGCTCATCGTCGTCTTCCAGCTCGGCGCCGTAGACTTCGGGGTATTCCCGGAAGCAGTCTTGCATTGCCCTACAAAAATTGTCAGCTCAGGACCGTCGCCCTCAAAAATGACAGTAAAACATACTTGAATTTATCAATGCAGTCGATGCCCTTGGGCTCTTCCTCGGAGAAGACGAAGCAGCTGAACGCAGCCTTGAAGTTCTCTCCGCAAGGCCCGTGGGCCATGCCTCCGAGACAAGGGCAGTCCCAGTTGATCTCACCGGTCTCCGGGTTGAAAGCAGCCTCCTGGCTGGCCTCTTCCTGGAGCTCCTGAGGATTCAGGCCACCTTCCAAAGCAGCAGACTCGCTCTTCTGGGACTGCTCGGCAGCTCGTTCTTGCCGGATCTTGGGAGTAATGGAGTCGAGGGTCTGGGAGTTGGCATCGTCACCATTTTGTTTCCGGATCGAAGAAAGGATAGAGACTAAAGCCAAATGAAAGCAGTGTTAGTGGTTTGTGGTTCCAAAATTCATTATTCTTGACTGTGACGGGATTGTCGCAGCTTGCAACCTCGGAAGCGAGGAACAAGGGCAACCCCAGCTTCAATCGGCAAGACATACACTTCGGCTCCTCGGAGAAAACACTGCTCGTGTTGTAGTAGTAGATAGCACCACCAGCCAAGCCCAATCGCAAGAAAGTGTTCTTCCAGCTTCTCGACTTGGTCGGACCGGTGCTTATCAATCGTCTGTTCGCTGGTGTACGGGCTGCGACAGCAGGCGCGCGGGCAAGCGCTCGAGCGGCGGGACGGAACATTATGTGTAAGAAGTGTGGGAATCAATCGAATTGACCGAAAGTTCCTCCAAGAAGGGATTGAGAGGAGGGGAGTCGAGGCACCGCGGGATGGAGAAGTTGGAAAGCGATGTGGATTTTGGCCTGAGGTTGTTCTGCCCGCGTCAGCCAGTCACGTTGCAGCTTAAGTCAAGATAATCATATCATCACCACGCAATCCTTTTGGGCTTTGATTTCTCTTGGTTTGTTTACATTTTTTGGACTATTCAGTTTGGTTTGTATTCATCTCTTGCAATGGAGTGGGATCCCAGTCGATTCTTCCGTCCTGAGGGGAGTCCTTCGCCTTACGCTCTTCTCATCCTCAATCAGCCCATCAATGAGAAAGCTTTTGGAGTGTTGAGCAGATATGGTAAGTTTCTATATCAATTTCATATAAGCACGATATGTTGAATAAGAAATACTAATGAGTATGTAGCATCCTATATCATTTGCGCCGACGGAGGTGCCAATCGGCTTTTTGATATGCCGGAAGATAATGAAAAAGAACCTAAAGAAGTAAGCGATATATATATGGATTTTTGCATAATCTCTCCGGGCTGCAACTAAAGACCTAATTGCTGCACAACAAAGATCAAACTGACCAGGGATATAGCTTCCTGACTGCATTGTCGGCGACCTTGATTCTATCCGCCCCGCAGTGCGAGAACATTATGAGAAACTCGGAGTATCTGTCCTCCAAGATCCAGATCAATACTCAACAGACTTCACAAAGTGTCTGACATATCTCAACGCACATGCTGCAGAGATAATAGCTTCTCCTCGAAAAGGAGCAAACACTACCAAACCAGACACCAATGGCGCAAATGAGAGCACATCAACCTCATCATCTGATCAATCACCTCTGGAAATTGTGATCCTCGGCGGTCTAGGCGGCCGTGTGGATCAAGCCTTCTCCCAAGTCCACCATTTGTACATGATGACGCAGACGCAGCGGTCAATCCGTGAAAATGAAACCAACACCTCGACCTCTGATGCCAAGCCAGCTGCAGGTGGTAACCTCTATCTCGTCTCTGAGGAAAGTATTACCTTCATAATCCAAACGGGGAAGAACACAATCCACACTCCCGCAACCAAACGTGCAGACATCGCGACAGCGTCGACATCAGATGTAAGCAACTCACCGAGAAAACGAAAGCGTGAGCAAGAGCAGGATCAGGATCAGGATCAGGATCAGGATCAGGAGCAAGAGCAAGAACCAGAACCAGAACCAGAATACTTCTTCGAAGAAAATATTGGGATCATCCCCCTCTCAGCACCCGCCAAGATTACAACCCATGGCTTTGAATGGGATGTGGAGAATTGGCATACCGAGATTGGAGGACAGATATCCACGAGCAATCATATCCGCGCTGACAAGGTGGAGGTTGAGACCTCTGTGCCGGTTTTGTTCACAGTGGAGTTGGCGGAGAGGTTGAAGAGGTGACCGTGAGCTTGAAGCATGACTTTCGGTATGGGGGTTAATAGGAACCCACGACGGTCTGTGTGGGCCTCCCACGCCTCAAGGAGCTTCTTAGGCTATCAGTCTCACACATCGCTCTTGCAAATTTGCGATTCAGCCCTACCATAGCAACACACATGATAGATTGGCTTTCGCCAACCGTTGTGTGTCCAGTACGCGTTTGGATCAATATAAGAACGTCGCCGTGGGCTTCTGTTTGGCCTCTGGGGCTCTTCAAGAACTCCTTGATTCCAAGCGCCTGTTCGGGACCTTTTCTTCGTCGTCGGTGCCTCTGGGCTTAAAGACCCTCATCCATCTACAGAACAACAAGGGCTTAACCAACATTAGAAAAGTCGTCCATAGCACTTATACTACTACACTCTGATGTTCCTGTTACAGACTGGAAAATAATGAATCGGTCATTAGAAGAGAAAACAGGGGAGGAGAATCTCCCAAAAAGATGATCAGAACAAAAATCAGAATCAGAACCCCAAGGCGCCTTCTCTGGCTAGAACGAGAGACCACGAAAGACAGGGGAAAGAGAAAGCAAGAAAAGAACCCCAATATCGCATATCGCATAATCCACATACCAGTGACTAAAAACTTGAACCCGTAAACCAAAAAAACAACCATGGAGACGAATGGGATAACAATCATCCAAAACTACTGAGTAACCATTCCTCACCAGATCATCTGTACAGCCTCACAATTCATATCCACACTCTTACGAGCGGTGCAGAATAGCCTCATACAGAGCACTAACACCACCGACAGCAGATCCAGTCAATAGACCAACGCCTCCACCAGGGACGGAGTCGATAACCTTTCCAATAGCATACCGGCTATAGATACCGAAGAAGTTGAAATCATTTCCAAACACAACGTGCACCAGCAACGCCTTGACGATGTTGAAAGTCAAAGGATCAAACTGGGCGAGATTAGACGCAGACCGAGTGCGGCGCGCACCGCTAGAAGCCTTCCAGCTCAAGTTGATAAAGTAGGCAGAAATCAAAGGCAAAACCAGACAAGTGAGGAACCACAGCGAAAACGGCGCCCAGAATGCACCTTCCAGCAGCACAAACAGATCAGGAACGCGGATAGGAATTGCAGGGATCTGCGCGGCTTGCACAGGCGGTGTAGTAGTAAGGTAACGTATCGGAATCAACTCTTTCGCAAGACTGCCACTCTCAAACAGCAGCACAATGATCTCAACGGCCTTTACACTGCTCAGAGCTGCGCGCAGAGAATGCGCCCGATCCACCAAGCCTGACGCAGTCCATGCATCCTCAATGCTCTCGCGCAGCTTGAGCGTCTGCGCATCGATGGCTTCGGTGATAGCAGCGGGAGACGCTGGCAGTGATGGCTCGGGGTCCACGACAGTAGCGAGAACTGCTGGTTGACGGGGTGTCTGGCGGGGTGTCTGGCGCGCAGACTGACGTACGACTGTGCGCGCCGCAGCTGGAGTCGGGCTGACTACAGCTGGGCTGGGCACGGGTTCTTCCACATCCTCGCTAATGTGTGGGTTAGTATGTGTGCGACGGCCTTCGATGGAATGGCGCATTGGGGGCGCTCTTACGTAATTTCTTCTTCCTTCACTTCTTTCTTCGCAGAGCGGCGTGCTGGGGTTCGCGCGGGAGTTCGTGCGGTTTCGCGCTTCACGGGCGATCCTCTGCGGGGTGGGGAGGCCAAGCGCGAGTAGTATTCAGAGAGGCTCTTGAGTCCGGAGAAGATAGAGCGATTTTCGCGAAGATGTCTGTCCAACACTACCACAAGATCATTCTTGTTATAGTCATCGTAGCTATCGATTCGATTAGCTCAGTCTATGCGACAATCGCATTCGTACTCACTGTGGCAGGTCTGTCTGATCAGCCAACTCAGCCAACTCGGGCTTTTTCAGCGACTTGAGATAAGGAAGAGACATGATGTATCCGATATCAACGTAGGAAATTGGACCAATGTCAAATAAGAAAGTAAATACTGGGGGGGGGNGGGGGGGGGGGGGGAAGAAGATGCAAGGGAGGGGAGTGGCCGGTAATTGTTTACATCCGCGGATCGCCAAAACAAAACACGGTTTAGCGCGTCCACTCCCTTTGTTCAGTATCATTCCACTTCTTTGATGGGCTTTTTCCCTTCATTTTTTAAGATATTTTTAGGGTAGGTAACCAAGGCTGTATAATAGAAAAGGTTTCTTGTTTCTTTTTGATATCTATTATATAATTTGCCCTTTTCGCTTGGATGTTAGCAAAGATATCACACCAAACAGAACATAGAACCTGGAATATGCCAAAAATATGTCAAAATATATATAATATGGAGTTGAAAAATAAATGCTATGGTACAGGAGGCCGCAGCCAGTCTAATAATCTATCACAGAGTAGGGTAAACAGTATACAAAGTGCTCAAAGCACACAGGGTCATAACATCCCAGATCGGGACAAAGAATCCAACGCCCCCATTTCCCAATGACAAAAAAAATGTAAAAATGAACAGCAACCTTGGAAATGCATAGAGTTAGATGAAAGGCCTTACAAGGTCTCTTCCAGAATCTGGTAGGCCTCAAGTTGTTTGAGCAGGTACTGATACATAACCAGCATAGTCCCGCTTTGGATGCTAGTCCATACACCGCGTGGGCCCACGCCGCGGAACCACCCGGCAATACCTTCTGTTCGGTAGATCATCTTCAACCCCGTGAACACGGAGGAAGTGTCAAGTCGAGGTGTACCAGGCAGTGGGATTGATGTGTTTGCCCCCGATGTAGAGATTGGTCGCGAGTGTGCCCGGGAAGGGTGGGGATGTGAAGATGCTGGTGCGTGTGGCCGTGGGCTTTCTTTCGGTACGTGCTCAACAGAATGTTTAGCACCCGAGGAGCCGGATGGGGGCTCTAAGGGGTTTTGCTGGGTTTGGATGCGCGTCTTGACCACATCCATCGGACAGGTGATTACACCAGCCATACCGCCGGCGGTGGCGGCGGTCAATATCTCCAACCCCAGGCCAATGTCCCGTTTTCCGACCCAGTGTTTAGCCATAGATTGCTCTTTCTCGTAAAATGCAAATTGAAGCGCCGAAAACGGGAGGTCGCGGAAGATAGTGGCCTTGTAGCCATGGAATAATGCCGAGAATCCTTCCAGGCGGACGATTTGACGGAAGCCATCTTGCATATTGCGGTAGTTGTAGCCCGAGTTGAAGTGCGGGTTGTTGTATCGGCCCTGCAGCTGGAGTCGCGTTTTCAGCACCTCGGATGGTACATACACAACAGACGCAGCCAAGTCGGCAAAGAAACCACCTGATAGATAGGCGATGCTGGGGTTGATCCCCGAGTCGATCATTAAGCGCTTGGTGTATTCGTAGACGCCGAAGAAGATCACGGTTCCGGGAAACGAGCCAAGCAGGGCCGGCGTTACTCCTCCATATAATCCACGACAGAATCCTTCTTGGCGGTAGATTGTTGAATATGACTGGCCCATCGATGTGTATTTAGGCGGAAAGGTCGGATCGCCTTGTTGCCGGGTCTTGACTGTGTCTAACGAGTGCATCAACATGTCACCGCATGTTCCTCCGGTACCACCAGCTAACATCGCCTATAGTTTCAAATCAGGTCAGTCTTTGCGCAATGATGTGATGCCACTAGGGGTAATTGTACATGTAGGTATGGCGGCCGAGGCTCTTCATCCTCCAGCAGCGCGAGGTGGCCATTTCGAACAGTATAGCTTGAATCATCGATTCCACCGATTGAAGTTGGCTGCGCCCATGTCGAGGCAGACGAGTCCCCCGCAGGCGGTGCTGTTGAGTCCGAGGTCGCTGTTGGGAACAGGCCGAACACCCACGAGGTCAGGCTCATGGCAATATTATGCCAAACTGCAATCCCGATGGATACTGGTCGGGACCAGGTTGGGGATTAGGGGGTGCTGAGAGGTTTAACGGGAGAGGAGCACCCCTGGGAGGTAAGGATAAGAAGAAAGAGTGACAAGAGATCAAGAAAGGATTGATTAGTATTGCTTGCGAGATGATTGTTCCACCAGCCAAAATTCTGATCGGCCTCTTTTCGCCGCCAAGCCCGATCCGCCTCAGGCATGAATCACGGGATTTCGTCATTGGAGCATTTTAATATCTCCTAAGAGATATGACTATGGAAATAGCCTATAGCATGAATGACCATGAAGATTTGGTGTAAGGTGATTTATTTATCATATATGCAAGGACACAGGATGATTGGTTCCTATAAAATACGCAAATGAGGTCTTGGTTATTCTTGATATCCTTCACAAAACTACATATGCATACCAGTGCATGCTCATTTTTAACAAATCCCCGCATACAGGGTTTCCAATCTGGTCAACACTGCTTTTATGCGGGTTGAAATTTCCCTTTCAGTTATGTTGTTGCCTGTAATAGATTTAGCGGATCTCTACAAATTTGCATATTGAAATAATGAAATGAATCCGAAACAAGGTATGTTGACAAGAGGAAAGCAAATACAGAAACTATGCATCGCAGTACTCTAGAAATAATAAACACAAGTCGTTGCGTATAGCATGATCATGGCGGGATTCCTCCGCGTCCGCCTCTTTTCTACAGTCGGGACCTGGGCGTCCCATACTCCGACATCCTCCATGTTCTCCGCTCAGGCGGGAACATGCTAATGGGAAAGATAAAGCTGTAATATTATGTCTTTCACCAGCCACCTTCATTCAGCAATCTTACAAACTGAAAACTCAGGTTTTTTCCTGACGTCATGAGCTCTAGCTTGCAAAGCAAGGTGCCTGGCACATCACCTTAGCGACATTTACTGCGGCTTCTTGGCAGCGGTAGGGCCAGAGATGTAGCGGCCAATATCGGTGGCCTCGTAGCCCTGGCGCACAACGCCCTTGACGGCCTCCCAGCCCTGGCGAACCTGAGGAGGAGTGCTCTGGTGGGAGATGGTGGCGTCGGCACGGGCGGTGAGCTGGCGGACAGCCTGCTGGACAAAGGAGCTCTGTGCGTAGCGGGCGCGGAAGAAAGACAGGTAGACGATCAGGAGCACCCAGCTACCCTTGGAGAAAGTGATAGCGGACAGAACAAGGCGGAACAGCAGGGCAATCTCGAGAGTAGCGACAACACCCATGCTAGCATCGTAGTATTGCTTGATGAAGCGTCCAATGGTCTCGGCGAGGGGAGACTGCTTAGCAGCGGGCTTGGAGTTCGGGGAGGTGGGAGAGGTAGGGGCTGCCGGAGCAGCGGGCTGCAGGGTAGGGATCAAGTACATGCGGCTGTAGGTTGCGACGTGGAAGACCGAGTAGACGCTGAAAGGCAGAAGAGCCAGGATGAGCTGGCGTGAGTACAGCCAAACCAGAGCCATTCCTATAATGCGTGTTAGCTTGAATTTTGGACTGTCACATCGCGGATCACTCACCAAGGTATTGCACATTCTCATCAGAGATGAGCTTCAACACAATTGCCAGAGGGGTGCCCTGGACGCCCCGAGCGAAGTGGCCCTTGTACACGACGATTCCATAAGTCACAGCGGCCGAGATGAAGGTCAGACGGTAGGCAATCTGTGCCGAGGAGGAATAGTAGTTGAAAAAGATGCAAGACAGGGAGTAGCGGAAGACGGAGAGCAAAAGTGTCACATGTCTAGAAATTGTTAGTGAACCTGAATTCAGGTCATTGTCAGTGTGCGCTTCAGCAAATTGACCTACCCAACGAACCAGGCAAACCTGCAACGTGGCATTTCGTTAGTACTGATAAACAAGAAATTGAAGCATCACTTCAGTATCGGAGGGAAACGCACTGTAGGGTCTGCGCCAAGGCCTTAAGTCTCTCAACCAGAGGCAAGGCTGCGGAAGGAGGAGGAGGAGCCATGTTTCCACCGAATGTCAGATTAAGATGAATGATAAAATTGAATCGAGATGAAGGAAGGGTAAAAGCAGAAAATGTGGAAAGCGACAGATAAGACGGTGGCTGGGGGGAGAGCGGGGAGACCGAGTTAACACCCGTGGACGCACACTGAGCTTCCCTCTCTTTCTCTCTCCGCCTTCTGTGGTGACGTCGGGTATTCGGGATGATGCAATTTCTTATCTATACATCTATATAAGAGCTTCTATAACTTCAATTTCATATACTCCTGTACTGTTGGTTTTGATCTACCATTTGAACTTGTCTATCTGTTCGTGTCAACCTCGAGTCGAGTCGGTGTGACCGACCCGCTTGAGGAGATCCAGTTTCAGCACTAACGTTCGGCCATTTGCATACACTTGCAGGATTCTCCAATAGTTCAAGCATCAGTGATCTCCACACAATTTTCTCGAACAAATGTCTATTCAAAGAAAAATTTTGACATTCTAATATATCATTCAAGCTTTATCCGAGCTTGTTTGGGAATATATCCACGGCAATACCAATTGAGGTCAGGAAAGCAGGAGGCCTATGTTGTATATGAGTACTCACGATCCTCAACATGCAAGAAAAATTGCCAACCCTTATTAGCTGACGCACATTGCAGAAGCTGGGTAAGAAGGCCCGTTTCGACCGTTAGTCTTTATCTAAAATAGTCCTTGAAGGCTAGCTTCCTTCAATACTTTCGTTAGACCGAACTAGGTCAAGAAATACTAAATCATACAAAGTATAACAGCTTCGTTAGGAAGCACATCCAAATTTCATTATTATGCGAGGTCGGTCCCTATTTAGTATGGCTACTTCGCTGACTAGGGATGTAGTACTCCGTATACGACTTGGCATTACTACAACCAAGAGCTCCAATAGCCGACGCTTAACATGCACCAAAGGCTCGTCGCCAAACACAGATAACTTCTATTGTCGGACCCATCCCACGCTCATGCGCTCAGAACTCAGTACTAGACTATGTTCAATATACGAAGCGAGATATACTCAGCATCAATAACTAAATTTATCCCTATGGACCCTCCACAAACTTTAGCTTTCCGGTGTAGTATTCAACCAGGGGTATGACAATCGAATCAGAAGAATTGCATAATCTAAATACGGGTGATCTACACCAATCGACGCTAATATCCGGATAGCCCTGCTATTTTTAGGTGTGCATGTTGTGCCCTGACAGGCAAATCTTCAGGAACACTAGTGCCAAGCTTAACCGATGTTCAGATTAAGCTTAGTAGCATCGGACATGTGAATAACACGAGAACTCCCTATGGGGATTATACGAGATAGCATTTTTGAAGTAGATTATTTACCTTCACTCAATAAAACTAGATACAACCTCTATGGAAATAATCTACGAATACGAATCGAAGATCTCACATTCCACCTCTACACGAGCTTCGTGGGGTCCAAGCAAGCAAGAATGAACAAAATAGGTGTGTGGTGTAGTATACAACCTCGAGGAATGAGGAGCCCAGGGATATAAAATACTCGTTGATTCCCCTTCAAACACATTCTATCCATTAACTCACAACATCGCAACATCGGCTACTCTGCAATCTCCATTGCGCCAGACCATTTTCAATCTCACAAGATACTTCAAGTATCCTTCCAAAATCCTTTCAAAATAATGTTCACTCCTATTCTAGCGCTCGCATTTGCCGCCATTACTCCAATCGTCAATGCCTACCCCATCACTGGCAACTCCGTCAACTGCCGCTCTGGCCCAGGAACCTCTTACTCCGTAGTCAAGAGCTACAATAAAGGAGCGGACGTTGCAATCACCTGTCAGGCGGCCGGTACAACCATCAATGGCAACCAATTTTGGGACAAGACCTCCGACGGCTGCTACATTGCCGACTACTATATCAGAACCGGGAGCAGCAGCTATGTCACCAAGAAATGCGGCGGCAGCAGCGGTGGCAGCACCAGTGGAAACCTCCCCGGCCTCACATCCACCCAGTCCAAGCATGCAAAGGCCATCATCGCAGAAGCAAAGAAAGAAAACCTGGGTCGTCAGGGCTGTCTTGCTGGAATTGCAACCGGGCTTGTTGAGGTGAGTCCTAGCATCCACAAACAATTCCAATAAAATTTAACTCCTCGGAGCATTACTGACACTATCTCAAGTCTAATATACTTGTTTACGCCAACAAGAAAGTCCCCGATTCCCTAAAGTATCCCCATGATGCTGTGGGCTCGGACAACGACAGCGTAGGCATCTTCCAGCAACGCGCTATTTACTACCCTGATATTGCTGCCGATATGGATGCTGCTAAGTCGGCGGCACAGTTCTTCAAGGGCATAAAGAATGTCAATGGCTGGAAGACTATGGAGGTTGGCAAGCTTTGCCAGAAGGTGCAGGGCTCGGCATACCCAAGTCGGTATGCAGAGCGTCTCGATGATGCTAAGAAGATTTGTGTTGCTGGTGGCTTGTAGATGGAGATTATATTTGACTTTTTCTTGGATCATGTTTAATAGACATTGACATGGCTTTTGGACTGCTTGCTTTGTTGGAATCCAAAGAATATGTTTGTGACTTATAGTACGAGAAATATACAGAAGTTTACCGTTGTCTTCTCCTTATATGTTCCAAAAAGCAATGAAGGCTAATATTTACTGCTCGCTCATGTCATGTATATGCCAGATCTAGAGTAGCAGGATGAGATGAGGCAGAATCGGAAAAAAAAAGGCTAAAATTATATTAGTTTTTACAGCTTATGGAGAGACGTCAAAATGCATAGATAATTGCGGAATTAGAGTCCTCTCACTGCACAAAGTGCGCAAAGGCTCGGAACTTCAAAGGCAAGTCCTGTCATTTGGAGATCTCACTAGATGAAAATGTTTAGATGTCTAGTAGTCCTATGCCGCTAGCGCACATCTCATGTCCTCCAGACTCTGCGGACCATAGCCAAAAAGAGCGAAAGTGGCGCCAGTATGGTTTGCCCGCCAAACCTTTCTCCGGGTATCAAGCGCCATAGCCGAAAGTAGGAAAGAACTGATGTATGTGAAAAGGGGGCACTAGGATAGTTTGCCCACGACACCTTTCTCCGGTGCGCCATACTCATAGATGAAACAGGGGCACCATGAACATCTCGCCTCTCCATATTAGCATGATCTTTCCCCGTCATGTACTAGTATTAGTCATGAGAGGAAGCTCTAGGGTTACGGGAGAGATAAGTAAAATATACAAATAACCAAAACCCTGAATTTTCCCTGTTGGGAGATTCTATGCATAAGAATTGATGGTGTCTTGACTTTCGGGCCTGGTGCATAGATGGCTTGACTCAGTCTCCAGAATGACATGAGATGGTTGCATCTTGCCCCCACCGGGATTGAGGTAATGCTTGTAGATGTATCCAAAGCAGGCATGCATGCGGTATAGTATTACTAGTTACAAACTTCTAGATACTCCTAGTCTAAGCATCATATGTGATTTGGCAACTTCCATCTGCCTGTGTATCTTACAGTTAGCCTAATCTCGCCCTACATTCCGTGTCTCTTCCAGCTATATTCCCCACAATTAGCCTTGAATTGCCAGAAGATCACCCCATACCCCATAAAACAACCCAAAATAAAGTTTCCCCGGAAGTTGAAAATCACATGGCAGACCTCGGACCATATCTGCATGCTAGCGCCAACCTTGGAATCCAGTAAGGCCCTCTTCCCCGCCATTTTTCACTTATGGCCCCATCTTCAACGACTATTCCGAACTCTGTCTGCCCCGGATTATGTACGATTTACCGTTGTATGTACTCCGTAATGTACAAAGCTATACGCCACCAAAAGCACGTGCCAACCCCACCGTAAGTGCGATAAATGCCGAACTAACCGCTCTCCTGGCCCATGAACAGCCACAAATCCCGGGGATTATAGATTAGCTAGAGTCAGTGCTCATTTGTCTCCGTATATCGACTTCGTTAGGTTTCTAAAGTCGAACCCGGGGGAACATGCTACCTCGGTCAATCAACCCCGCAAAGCGGGAGTTCTCGTGAGATCACCGCGTACATTGCACCTAGATGGCAAGATTTACAGATCAACAGAACTAGAGCAATCAGAACAAAGGTTGATCATGGTGTCTCCAGGGAGAAACCTTAGATGGTTCGCCGGATAGATTTACCGAAGTTGGGATGCGGGGGGTTCGTGGGCCATGGATCCTTGCTTTTTCTCACTCCCGAGGTCAGGATCCATGGATGACAGCGTTGCACGGCGGAGAATCTTGAAAATGATGTTTAACTAAAAATCAGTTCGTGCCATGTGGTATTTTAGACCAACGTGGAAACTTGGACACCTATGGCATACTAGTCTACCAATCCCTCGTCATCACATACCCCTGTCGAACATACGCAATTTAATTAACTTCCTGAACCCAGGCCCTATCGATACATGTCGATACAGGGTCTCAACGTGGTCGCGTATACGGAGTACAGGACACCAAAATAATTTCATCCAGCCACGCAATTTAAAGAATGCCCTTATGTAGGTACAATCTTCCAAGCTTGGACTAAGCAAATCTCACATAATCAATAATCCTAGCCCTGGGGGGAGCAACTGCACAGTCGAGGAGTTTGCACCCGATGCATCCGGCAACAATCTAGAAGGGTTCTCCGAAAGTCTAACAGGGGTATTACTCTAGTGTGCAGTAGGGTTTCGCTAGTACAACATATAATAACCCTTACACTAACATTTAACCGGCAGTAAAACAGGTACTCCGTAGTGATACACGCATTACAGGCTGAAACTACATCGAAACACTAGCCCTAACGGGGCAAAACCGCCGTTCCTGCATGTCGGAAAACTAGTGGAGTCCGTCGTATTCCCGACGTGCGCTAGGCAGGGGAATTAGTGCCGCCCCCGGTATTGGTGGTGTCAGTGCTCCGTACGGAGTACGGAGAACGCAGTAGCCATCAAGGCCGCCTTTTGTGGGACCTTTTTTTTTCCTTCTTCTTCTTCTTCTTCTTTTATCGAGCATGCGGTATTTTGGTGTGGTATTTCCATGTACGACATACACAACCAGTCAGTTCCACAACTGTAGTTCTAATGGTGGAAGTATATCATTGCACCCATGGTCACACTCACGGGCATACCGATGCAGGACCCCGATTGAATTGTCGTGGCTGAGATTGTGATTGAGATTGAGACGGGTGCAATCTGAATCGGTATGTAGAGATTGCAATAATAGAGCGATTGTGATGGGGATGAACTAGACTCGGATTTCGGTATATCGATGTTAGAGATTGTAGTAAATGTGGAACCAACACGGATTAAAATAGAATTATATTGGATACCAAGTGGGATGAAGTACGAATATGAAATAGACTAGACAGACATCATACATCATTGATACATACACGTGGGGATTGCAAAAAATCACTGACGCCTAACTGGGAAACAGTGAAACTTTTCCTGTAACACCTTGTCTCAAGAACAACCTAAAATATTCCTCTCAACGTTTCTTTTTGTTGAGCTTCCCATGTTTCAGAAATGGGAGTAGAGTATAGGCCAAAAGTAAGGAAAGATAAAATAAAACCCCGGTAGATATTTTAGAACATTAAAGGGAAAAAAAAAAGAGGGGTTCAAACATAAAACCGTATTTCAGTAACATTACACTCGTTCTCGTCCATATCCCGGCGCAAACGTGGATTGAGGATCCCACTCGCGTGCACTATGTAACGAGCTAGGCGGTCTAGGCCCAGAAAAGCTCAAGGAGGGACGCACATAGCGGGCCTCACGACCGACATGAGCATTGCGCTCGGAGCTTGGGCTTGGACTGGCGATCGGACTACGGCCGAATCCAGTCATCTGCGTAGGGCTCGGCGAGGGGACGAAATCGTTACGGTCAGGCCCGCCCATTTGTGTAGGGCTTGGTGAGCGCATGAAATCGCTTCGGTCATGCCCCCCAATTCGGGAAGGGCTTGGGGAGCGCATGAACGTATCGGGCGATTTCACGGATGTAGTCAGCATTTCGAAGCCCTTGTTGTCGGCGAAACGGGCGGTTGCATCTGCAGAGACAAACTCGTTGCGGTGTGTCACCTTGCGGTGGAATAGATCCAGCCAACCGGCGAACATAGATGGACGAGCGAAGAGGATGAAGTTCCAGAAGCCGACAAGTGAGAGCAGAAACACAACTGCTAGTAGGGTTGCTTCGTTGGGTCCGATGGCTGCGGCGTATTCGCGGCAGAGATTCTTGTCGCCAGTTTCGGCGAGGCACATTAGCCAGGGGCCTGCGGTTTTGACGTTTTCCACTGTTGGCGCGACGGCATTGTCGAGATTGATGAAGACGACTGCGAAGAAGAGGACGTTGCCGAGGATAATTGATGTCAGTGCGATGCCGCGCCATTGGAGTTTAAGGACGCGACGTACACGCCGGTAGGCCTGCCGGGCTGTCACGGTACCGATGCTGGATGTGTAGGAGGGGAGGTTGGTCCCGGAGCTGCCTGATGTTGAGGCAGATTTGTCGAAGAGGGAGCGGAGGTAGATGTGGGTGCAGTAGATCATTGTTGATAGTTGGAGGAAGAGGGCTGCGACGGCAAAGATCATGACTGGGATCCAGTAGTCGTATAGTCCATTGGTTACGTTGATATGGCAGATATCGCCGAATCGGAATGACACTCCGGTCAGTATCAGCATAATTGTCAGTCCGATTGCTGGGATTCCCAATCCGCAAACAAAGGCTGTCCACATGAATTTCGGTCCTAGAACTCTTTCCCAGCATACTTGTAGGTGGAAGGCCAATGTACGGATAAAACTCCATATGACCACTAGCCAGCCACCGAGTAGCAATAAGGATCCGGAGAAAGCACAGGAAAGATCGGAGCGCATGTCATTGGGGGTGATTGCATTGTGGCATTGTTCTGGTTTGGCGCCGAGGGGTATAATAAAAGCGAGCTAGATCGGAGTTAGCCATGAAGGTTCCCAGCGCACGCCAACATCCAACTTGCCTCCATGCAACAAATGCCCAGCGTAAAGCAGACACTGAGATAATGACGGTGAGTCCATTTGACGGGTAGGACGGCGTAAGAAATCAACAAGAAGATACAAAGAGGGAGAATAGCGACACTGATCCAACTCGTGACACTGATTTTATCGGCCAAGTCTATACACGTTAGGCATTGGAACGGGCCTAGAAATCACAGTACTCACCAGAGTCATATCTCCACTCAGCGAGAGGACATGGTAAGCAACAGGAATAAGTGCTATTGCCGAAGGAGATCTTCTTGCAATATCGACCATCGATAAATCCCCCGACGGTGGGGAATAGCGTCTCCTGCAAGAAAGGAGCCGGGCAATGTCCATTTAGGGCGTGCACCATGATGGCGAGATATGCATATCCTGCGCGAATTCCTAACGCGCCAGCGCGATATCGCAAAGGAACAGTATATATATGCGAGAGAGGGGAGAGAGGGATAGAGAAGGGCAAATTGGGGTATACATTGTACTTTGTATGTATGCTCCGTACTCCCGTACTACGGTACTGTACATTGGTGACTGGATAGTCTGAAAAGGCCCGTTCTCTGCCCCACCGGCACACGAGGCACTAAAATCCTACCCACGGTCCTCCAGAACTCAATTCGCTCTTGGCAAAATCGGTTAGCGGGGATAAATTACAGTACGGAGTACAGCATACCGAGTACACACACGCGATCTGTTGAAAATGACTGACCGAGAAACGTATGTAGAAGGCCATTAAGTCATAAAAACCATCTTGATAATCCGAGACTTATGGTTTAACTCTATTCTAAATGCTAAATATCTAACCCGTACTCCGTATGGAGCACGGGTTAGATCTCATTTTAATATTATAACTTTATAAATTTATAAATTTACAAAATTAAAGAATTAAAGAATAATTAATTCAATTTATCACTCAGCCTCCTCCATACTTTGCCCTTTCCGTGGTTAGTGCTTTTTACCATTTTTCAGCCCACAATGAATACAATGATAATGTTGGTTAAATGAGATTTAATATACGGAGTAGATCTATACATACCAACCTTGAAAGATTATAAATTACACAGCTGACAGGTACACTCCGAAGTGTCTAGCCCCACGATGACAGCAGGTCGGCCAAGTAGTCGCCTCTTCAACTCTTCGCTATCCTGGCACTTGATTCGATTACATTTTTGCCCCTGGAGATCAAATTCTGTCTGTTGTAGCACAGAGGGGCAAGAGTGGCCAATGTTACCAACAATAGACTTCCTTCCCGAGAGCCCACGCGTTAATCCACCCAATCATTACGAATAACCCATCTCTCGCTGTGATCATGGCCGGCATTCGTCGCTCATGAGTCCAATCAGATAGCCAACAAAGTTATATATGATATATGTATGTACTCTGTATACTACCAGACGATCTATCAAAAGCGAAGTGGTCAACGAGAAGATTTGAATGTATCTACTCCGTACAAGTCCCGGAATCCTCATCCACGCCAATCCCTGCATCGACCAGACCCTGATCCTCATGTTATGTCTCATTTATGGGTAGATCAGCTGACCCATTCACTGTACAAAGTACGTGCTCAGATCACACCGACATCATCAAGTAATCATCACACCTAGCACCAAGCACGAACCCCCCAACTCTTGAACCAGTTAAACACTACTCCGTACCTCTTCGCATCTTGATATTTTGCTCTTTTTTGTCAAGATCACCATCATCCAATTATGAGTCATGTACAACAACTAACACAAGCACAGCCCAATATCCGCGTCAAATCACAGAACCCCACCAGTAGTTATCCTTGTCACCTTGATTTTACCCTTATTCCCAGTTACTAGGACTTTTTCTGGTGTGTATACAACCTAGCTCTAAGCTTAAAGCGATCAATCTGGCTCGCCACTTTTCCCATCCGTATCAACCCACTAGCTTGTAGTCAATCCTATACCCTACAAGCAAAGACAGAAAATAAAACTACACCAGAACCCATGTACACTACTGAAACCACCGTCTAAGTTACCGAATACAAACAGGCCAAGCAACTGCTTCCATCAAAACTAAAGTAAGAAGACGAAGACCCAAATACCCGTCACACTCTAGTCCCCACTTCGTACTATCCCAAACCAAGTAAACCACTCAACAAAACACTAAAAAACACAAGTTTAATACTATCCTTAAATTGCGCTCAAACTCAGATATCAGCGCGCTACTACCGCAGCACTTGAAATCCTCAGTAATATAGATACCCTCCTAGCTCATCGCAAACCGAAGTCCAAGCCCAAGCCTAAGCCCTGACTAAAGTAATAAAGTGTTCAAGATCCCCCAAACTAAGTCTAAAGCTAAAGCTAAATCTCTAATTTCCCCCACCACACTCTTAAATTCGAGTGTTATAACCCCCTCTTCCCACCCCATGCTGCACTCCGCCACACTTTCCATTCTCTATTCTCTATTCTCCATTCCGAAAGGATCCCCAGAATCCTATCCAAATATGTACGGAATAACTGATACTAGTAACCCGAGATATTCTCGTCACCGTGTAGATCCTGAATCATGTCGCATCTGGAGCGATGTGATTCGGATAAGTTGCCCCTTGGAACCCCGGATGGGTAAATCAGTGGGGGGCAAGTGGATTCCGTGACACCATAGTCAACGAAAAACCTGCAACGTTGAGTGTTGGGGTTTAGTCTTAGGGCTGGAGCGGTGGGTTAGTGGTTAATGTTACCTAGGTAGAGATTAAGAACAGGTTGGTGATATTGAGGGTGTTTGTGTGTCAGTGTTATTTGTTATCTTTTGGCCCCCGGGGGATTTTGAGTACGGAGTAGATAACGATCCAATCAGCTAGGAAAAGCTCAAATGAATACTGGAATATCTGGAATATACTTGGATAATATGGAATAATGTACTCCGTACCAAGTATTCCGTGCAGGGTTCAGTGTCTCATGGACAGAACCCAAAGGCAACTAAACCGAAGCTGCAGAATCAAATGAGGAAAGGTTCTCGACCCTAAATTTGCTAATAATTTCTTGTCTTCTTCTTCTTCTTTAAAATCCATTTGCCCACTTTATTGTTATAACTACCTATAATGAACATTGTATGTTGTATGGAGTACACCTGCACTATACTATGATTACTATAAGGGTATCATGAACAATCATTACTCATGTCTCTAGCATTCGTCACAGTCACACCATGTGAGGGGCCACATCCCCGCATGAATCCTGATTATACCCAGTTGCTTGTCGCTTGGCAAGCCATTCCTCAACATGGCATGGCATGTTGATGGTGACAGGATCCGAATGCATGGTCACAATGCAACATAACCCGGCGTATTACCCTGCAAATACGCCGTTCACTCCAGTACCCCTCAAATGACTTCATCGGGTTCAATACAAGACCGAACAAGAGGGACCAGGTTCTATACAATGAGGGTGGTTGCTAGGTCCGCACCAACCCCTCAACTCCGGACGCTATAGTTCCTAGGCCGAAAACCTTATCTCGTGAAAAACTTGCAAGCCTCAGGAACCAGAAGAACCAGGCGATCGGGTCGAAATCTCATCCCACCCCCACTCCTTCAGCAACTGCTGCACACGGTACTCAGTCGCCCAGCCCAGATCCGACTCGATACCCCGCAGCAGGCGCACGGTGGTGCGGCGCTCGCGCGGGTCAGTCAGACACTGCCCGCTAACAAAGAGCGGCTGCAGCGAGTTGATCCTGACGCTTCCATCCGGATGGGAGAGACCGATACCAACGATCTCGCGGCTGTGGAAAGCGATCTCGGACTCGATGGAGCGATATGACTGGAGGCGAAGCGTAATGGTGCTCCGACGGCTGGTAGATTCGTGCGGCTTGTTGATGAGCAGCAAGATGCGCGCCATGTGGTAATGCTGCATGGCGGAGGCGCACATGGGTAGGCTGTACCAGATTTCCTGCAGGGTGGAGATGTCTTCGTTTTCGTTCGGCGGACGGTGGTGTGTGAGGTTGGATGGGTCTAGCCGTGCGCAGGGCTGAAAGGTCTCTGGGATCCCGTTGTACCACGCGTCGAGCTCGGATTCAAGCCTATACCACCGTTCTAGGAGGACTTGTTGCGACATGCCTAAGGGTCCTGGCACGGATCGGTGATCGGTTGGGCGTACGTTGTCGCCGGAGCTTATGAAATTGACTATCTTGGACATTATCCAGACTAGTCCGTTGCTGATTAGGTCTTCTTTCATTACGTCTTCGCCTTCCGGGTATCCTGTGGCACTTGTGTTGCTGGCGCGGAGAAAGCCTGCGTTGTCGATGAGTAGACCTGCTTCAGTCCAGAGGACTGTGTCATCCGTGTTCAGCCTTGTATGGCCTTCATTGATGACTTATTTCTGTCAGCGGAGTTTGGACGAACCATTCGTTGGGGGAAAAGATACTCACAGGCAGCTAAATAGTCCTGCCGCGCGAAATTCCAAAATGTCGCCCTCCGAGCCTTGGAAAGACCCGACTTCTTAGGTGTCTGCGTTTGATATGAATTTTCTCCCGGAGACGCACGCTGCTCGAGAGGCATCATGCCCACTTCAGCCACATCAAGCAACGACTTCACGCCACTCAAATGACGATTCCACGCAGGGCCTGCGGCATCGTGGAACTCATACACAGACAGAATGGCCGTTGCCGCGAGCACCTCATCGGAATGAACTCCATGCGAGAGCCGACTATCAGAAACC